GCTATCGCTCAGGAGGAACAGCTGCAGGTCATCTAGCCAAGCGGTGAACCGCACAGGGCGGCCCTCAGCATCGAACGACAGCACGCGGATGGAAGCCATAGCGACAGTGTGACAGAGTAACGCAAGCTGCCGCAGCAGGGGAAGGCGACTGTGCACGGATAGAGAGCAGCGGGCGAGGCTGGCGCTACGGGCAGGCGGCGCTGCAAGCGGTCAGCGCGACGGGAGGGCGACGCTGCGAGCGGGCAGCACGGCGGACGGGCCGGGAAGCGGGCAGCGCGGCGGGCAGGCGGCGCTGCAAGCGGGCAGCACGGCGGGCGGGCGACGCTGCGTGGCGGGCGGGCCGCGAAGCGGGCAGCGGGCGGGCGGGCGGGCTGCGAAGCGGGCAGCAGGACGAGCGGGCTGCGATGCGGGCGGGCCGCGAAGTGGGCAGCTAGCGGGCGGGCGGGCTGCGAAGTGGGCGGGCCGCGAAGCGGGCAGCGGGGCGAGCGGGCTGCGAAGCGGGCGGGCCGCGAAGCGGGCAGCGAGCGGGCGGGCGGGCTGCGAAGCGGGCGGGCCGCGAAGCGGGCAGCGAGCGGGCGAGCGGGCTGCGAGCGGGCGGCTCGGCGAGGGGCGCGCGAGGGCGCTAGTGAAGGGGCGCGCGAGGGCGCTAGCAAGGGGCGCGCGAGGGCGCTAACGAAGGGGCGCGCGAGGGCGCTAACGAGGGTGCGCGCGAGGGCGCTAACGAGGGGCGCGCGAGGGCGCTAACGAGGGCGCACGAGGGCGCTACGAGGCTAGGGCACGGGGTAGCGTGGTAACCGCAGCGAGCGGTGGTGGGCCCTTAAAAAAAAACGGTCGGTAGGTCCTAGGGACCTCCTGCTCTGAATACCATGTCAGAATCACTAGGCAAGAATGATGAACTAACAGAAGTTTGGGTACAAATATGAAACCCTAGTTGGGGTTGTACCCCATATTGGCTACCCCACTACAGCCTACAAGCATAATACAGTTTAACAAAAACTGCCGAAATCGTAGTCGCCGAACTTTTCTTCGCGCAAGAACCAAGCCGAAAAGGCTCTAGTAGGTGTACTTGAAGATGGGCCACTCAAATATGCAATAAAATTCAGGTTGTCGAATGCTTTTCCCTACGCCTATTGGAATTTACACGCTTTCTAGGCACTTGGCGAAAAAAACGGCCAAAATCGTAGGCGCCGAACTTTTCTTCACGCAAGAACCAGATCAAAAGGGCTCTAGTAGGTGTATTTGAACGTGGGCCATTCGAATATGCAATAGAATTCAGGTTGTCGAGTGCTTTTCCCTACGCCTCTAGGGATTCACGCGCTTTCTAAGCACTTGGCGGCAAAAACGGCCGAAATCGTAGTCGCAGAACTTTTCTTCGCGCCATAACCAGGCCAAAAAGGCTCTAGTAGGTGTATTTGAATACGGACCACTCGAATATGGAATAAAATTCAGGTTGTTGAGTGCTTTACCCTATGCCTATACGGATTCACGCACTTTCTAGGCACTTGGCGACAAAAACGGCCGAAATCGTAGGCGTCGAACTTTTCTTCGCGCAAGAACCAAGCCAAAAAGGCTCTACTATGTGTATTTGAACATGGGCCACTCGAATATGCAATAATATTCAGGTTGTTGAATGCTTTTCCCTACGCCTATAGGGATTCACGCGCTTTCTAGGCACTTGGCGGCAAAAACGGCCGAAATCGTAGGCGCCGAACTTTTCTTCACGCAAGAACCAAGCCGAAAAAGCTCTAGTATGTGTATTTGAACATGAGCCACTCGAATATGCAATAATATTCAGGTTGTTGAATGCTTTTCCCTACGCCTATAGGGATTCACGCGCTTTCTAGGCACTTGGCGGCAAAAACGGCCGAAATCGTAGGCGCCGAACTTTTCTTCACGCAAGAACCAAGCCGAAAAAGCTCTAGTATGTGTATTTGAACATGAGCCACTCGAATATGCAATAATATTCAGGTTGTTGAATGCTTTTCCCTACGCCTATAGGGATTCACGCGCTTTCTAGGCACTTGGCGGCAAAAACGGCCGAAATCGTAGGTGCCGAACTTTTCTTCGCGCAATAACCAAGCCGAAAAGGCTCTAGTATGTATATTTGAACATGGGCCACTCGAATATGCAATAATATTCAGGTTGTTGAATGCTTTTCCCTACGCCTATAGGGATTCACGCGCTTTCTAGGCACTTGGCGGCAAAAACGGCCGAAATCGTAGGCGCCGAACTTTTCTTCGCGCAATAACCAAGCCGAAAAGGCTCTAGTATGTGTATTTGAACATGGGACACTCGAATATGCAATAATATTCAGGTTGTTGAATGCTTTTCCCTACGCCTATAGGGATTCACGCGCTTTTTAGGCACTTGGCGGCAAAAATGGCCGAAATCGTAGGCGCCGAACTTTTCTTCGAGCAATTACCAAGCCAAAAAGGCTCTTATATGTGTATTTGAACAAGGGCCACTCGAATATGCAATAAAATTCAGGTTGTTGAATGCTTTTCCCTACGCCTATAGGGATTCACGCGCTTTCTAGGCACTTGGTGGCAAAAACGGCCGAAATCATAGGCGCCGAACTTTTCTTCGCGCAATAACCAGGTAAAAAATGCTCTTGTTGTTAAACTGTATTATGCTTGTAGGCTGTAGTGGGGTAGCCAATATGGGGTACAACCCCAACTAGGGTTTCATATTTGTACCCAAACTTCTGTTAGTTCATTCATTCTTGCCTAGTTATTCTGAGATGGTATTCAGAGCAGGAGGTCCCTAGGACCTACCGACCGTTTTTTTTTAAGGGCCCACCACCGCTCGCATGCGGTTACCACGCTACCCCGTGCCCTAGCCTCGTAGCGCCCTCGTGCGCCCTCGTTAGCGCCCTCGCGCGCCCCTCGTTAGCGCCCTCGCGCGCACCCTCGTTAGCGCCCTCGCGCGCCCCTTCGTTAGCGCCCTCGCGCGCCCCTTGCTAGCGCCCTCGCGCGCCCCTCACTAGCGCCCTCGCGCGCCCCTCGCCGAGCCGCCCGCTCGCAGCCCGCCCGCCCGCTCGCTACGCAGCCCGCCCGCCCGCTCGCTGCCCGCTTCGCGGCCCGCCCGCTTCGCAGCCCGCTCGCTCGCTGCCCGCTTCGCGGCCCGCCCGCTTCGCAGCCCGCTCGCTCGCTGCCCGCTTCGCGGCCCGCCCACTTCGCAGCCCGCCCGCCCGCTCGCTGCCCGCTTCGCGGCCCGCCCGCCTCGCAGCCCGCTCGCCCCGCTGCCCGCTTCGCGGCCCGCCCACTTCGCAGCCCGCCCGCCCGCTAGCTGCCCGCTTCGCGGCCCGCCCGCTTCGCAGCCCGCTCGCCCCGCTGCCCGCTTCGCAGCCCGCCCGCCCGCCCGCTGCCCGCTTCGCGGCCCGCCCGCTTCGCAGCCCGCTCGCCCCGCTGCCCGCTTCGCAGCCCGCCCACTTCGCAGCCCGCCCGCCCGCTAGCTGCCCGCTTCGCGGCCCGCCCGCTTCGCTGCCCGCTCGCAGCGCCGCCCGCTCGCCCGCTACCTGCTTCGCAGCGCCGCCCGCTGCCTCACTGCCCGCTTGCTGCGTCGCCCGCCCACACCGCTGCCCGCTTCGCAGCTCGCCCGCCGCGCTTCTCACCTGCTGCTCCCTGCCTGTGCACTGCCGCTTTCTCCTGCTGTGGCTACTAGCTTCGCTCTAGCGTGTCCCCTCTGCTGCTGCCGCTGCTCTGCTGTGCCCTCACGCCTGAGCTATGGCCTCTATTCGCGTTCTTTCCTTCGATGCTGAGGGCCGTCCCGTGCAGTTCACTTCCTGGCTCGACGACCTGCAGTTGTATCTTATGAGCAATAGCACGGACCACATCTCCCTCTATGACTACGCGTCTGGTGCTGCCGCTGCTCCTGCTGCCACAGCCGAGCTTAGTGTTCGTTCCCACTGGCAGACTCGTGACGCAGCTGCTCGCCTAGCCATTCGCAGTCACCTCCCGCTAGCTGAGCTCGAGCATTTTGGCGACTGCAAATCCGCTAAGGCCCTGTACGATGCTGTCGTCGCTCGCTACTCCTCGCCTGCCACAGCCGAGCTTAGCCGCCTCATGCTGCCGTACCTGTTCCCCGATCTGTCCACCTTTACTACAGTCGCCGATCTTATCACCCACCTTCGCACTAGTGATGCTCGCCTGCGTGCCGCCCTTCCCACCGAGTTCTGCGCTAAGAACCCCCCTCCACTGTACTGGACACTCCACTTCATAGTCACCCGTCTCCCTGACACCCTCCGCTCAGTTCGAGACCACTTCCTTGCTCGCTGTCCCACTGAGCTCACAGTCGCCCTCCTAGAGGAGCACCTGCTCGCGGCCGAAAAGAGCATTGTAGCTGTCGGTGCTGCTCGTGGCGCTCCTCGCACCCCCATCTTTGAGGGGTGTTCTCCCTCTCCCCTCGCTCCCTCCTACGCTGCTGCTGCTGCTGTTGACTTCCTTGGTGCTGAGTCTGTTGGCGCTGCTTCTACTCCTGGTGGGAGGCGCCGCACCGGCAAGGGCAAGGGGGGCAAAAGTGGTGGTGGTGGCGCTGGGGGGGGAGGAGGTGGGGGAGGTGGGGGGGGAGGCGGTGCTGGAGGGAGCGGTGGCGGGAGCGCTGGTGGGAGTGGGGTCGGTGGTGGAGGCGGGGGCGGCGGAGGAAGCAGTGGCAGTAGTGGCGGCGGCGGCGGTGGCGGCGGTGGCGGTGGTGGCGGTGGTGGCGGTGGCGGTCGGAGCGGTGGTAGTGGTGGCGGCGGAGGTCGGAGTGGAGGCACTGGCTCGGGCCAGAGCTCCCAGCAGCAGCAGCGTCCCCAGACGACCCAGCAGCTTCGTGAGTGGCTTGCTCAGCGTGGGACGTCGGGGGCCAGTGGCCGCTGTTCTTATGTCATTCGCACAGGTGACCGCAAGGGACAGACGTGTGGGAGGTTCCACACCCCGTACCGCTGCTTCTCCCGCCTTGACGACGCTTGGCGTGAGGAGATGGGTGCGGATGTTGAGCGCCCCCGCTGGGCTGAGCTCATGAGGGCTGGTGTTGATGTCTTTGCTCTTGACTATGATGCTATTATTGCTGCCATGTATGCATTGACTGTTAGTGCCGAGGGAGACTGTTACTTGTGTGTGCCGCCTGACCCAGGTATAGAGCCCGCTGCCCTGGGTACTAGTGAGTCTGCTCTCTCTGGTATGGTGCCCCCTGTACTTGCTCCCCCCAGTGCTGTCCCGGCTGGTTTCGAGTCTGCTCTCTCAGGTACAGCACCCACAGAGACTGCTCTCTCAGGTACCGCACCGGCTGAGGCCTGTCACACCTTCACCCTTGACTCAGGTGCTTCCCGTTGCTTCTTCCGTGACAGTACTGAGCTCACACCGCTTCCTGCACCGGTCCCAGTCTCCTTGGCTGACCCCTCTGGGGGCCCAGTCCTTGCCCAGTCCACCACTGTCCTCCCTTGTCCGGCGGTTCCGTCTGGCTCGTTGTCGGGTTTCCACCTCCCCTCGTTCTCGACGAACCTGGTGAGCAACGCTGTCCTCCAGGATCAGTGGGTTGACACCTTTACCCCTGGCGGACAGCGTGTGGCGATCTGCACGTGCTCCAGGACCGGCCGTCACCTGGCTACGTTCACCCGTCGGCCGGGGTCGAGTCTCTACACACTGACCACTACGTCTCCTCAGGTAGCTGCTGTCGGTCAGGTGTCTGCGTCAGGTCTGGTGGCCCACGCCTGTGAGTGTCGTTCCCTGTCGCACCAGACTCTTCTCTGGCACCACCGCCTGGGTCACCCCTCCTTGCCACGCCTTCGTGGCATGCACCGTCGCCACCTTGTGTCCGGTCTTCCCAGGTCCCTCCCTCCCCTCCCTGCCTCGCCTGCGCCGCCTTGCCTTCCTTGCGTCGAGGGGCGGCAGCGCGCCGCTCCTCACTCCTCCTCGTTCCCCCCGACAGAGGCTCCTCTGCAGACCCTCCACCTGGACGTGTGGGGCCCAGCCCGCGTTCGTGGTCAGGGCGGTGAGCGGTACTTTTTGCTGGTTGTCGACGACTACTCGCGTTACACCACGGTCTTCCCCTTGCGCACCAAGGGTGAGGTCCCTGCTGTTCTGATCCCTTGGATCCGCACGGTTCGTCTCCAGCTCCGCCGCCGTTTCCGGACGGATCTTCCTGTCCTGCGTCTGCACTCTGACAGAGGTGGTGAGTTTTCCTCCGATCTCTTGAGGACCTTCTGTCAGGCGGAGGGCATCGAGCAGACCTTCACGCTTCCGGACTCCCCACAGCAGAATGGGGTTGCTGAGCGCCGCATTGGCCTGGTCATGGAGGTCGCTCGTACCTCCTTGGTCCACGCGGCGGCTCCCCATTTTCTGTGGCCGTTTGCTGTCCGGTACGCCGCGCATCAGCTCAACCTCTGGCCCCGTGTCTCCTTGCCGGAGACCTCGCCCACACTGCGTTGGACGGGGGAGGTTGGCGATGCGTCGCGCTTCCGGGTGTGGGGTGCTCGTGCCCTTGTCCGCGATACGTCCGCGGACAAGCTCTCCTCCCGCACGCTTCCCTGTGTCTTCCTTGGCTTTGTCCCTGACGCGCCTGGCTGGCAGTTTTACCACCCCACCTCGCGCCGGGTCTTCGCCTCTCAGGACGTCACCTTTGACGAGTCGGTCCCTTTTTACCGTCTCTTCCCCTACCGCACTGCCCCCCTCCCTCCCCCGCCGCTTTTCCTTGCTCCTGGTCCCCCTCCGGTAGACCCCCTTCCCCCTCAGGGTCCTGCTCCTTCAGGTGTCTCTCAGGTAGACCCTCCTCCCGTCGCTGAGCCTGTCGAGGTCACAGGTGACTCAGGTGCTGCTGCGGGTGGTGCTGCTGGGAGTGCTGAGCCTGGGGGTGCTGAGCCTGGGGGTGCTGGGCCTGGGGGTGCTGGGGCTGCAGGTGCTGGGACTGAGGGTGCTGGAGCTGAGGGTACGGTGCCTGAGAGTACGGAGCCTGGGGGTGCTGCGACTGGGGGTGCTGAGCCTGCGGGTACTGAGCCTGCGGGTACTGAGCCTGGGGGTGCTGCTACTGAGCCTACGGAGCCTCGGGTTACTGCGTCTGGGGGTGCTCCGGTTCGGGGTGCTGAGCAGTCTCTCACACCGCAGCAGCTTCGTGACTGGTACGTCCGACGCTTTCGCCGTCCTAGTGGCTCGGCTGGAGTTGGGGGTGCTGGAGCTGCTCGTCCTGGGGGTGCTCGTACTGGGGGTACTGGAGCTGCCGGGACTGGCTGTTCTGGGAGCACTGCGACTGGAGCTGCTGGAGCTGGGGACTCTGGCGCTGGCGGTGCTAGCGGAGTTGGAGCTGCCGACTCTGGGGGTGGCGCTGCTGCTGGTGCTGCGGACCCACCTGGTGGAGCTGCTGCTGGTGCTGAGGAGTCGGACGGTGGAGCTGCTGCTGGAGCTGGGGACCCGGCCGGTGGAGCTGCTGCTGGTGCTGTGGACCCGGACGCTGGAGCTCCTACTGGTGCTGAGGACCCGGCCGCTGGAGTCCCTTCTGCTTCTGGAGACGCTGCGCGGCCGCGACCGTACTTCGTACCGCTCCTTCAGCAGGTTCTTGGGCAGGCTCCTCCTCCTTGTCCTCCTTGACCGACGTGGACTTTCAATGCAATGATATGAACCAATAGCAAGTAGGAGACCGATGTCAACTGTCAACGTGTATTTGAAAAAACTATAAGCCCTTTTTTGCCAGCTGCGACGTTGACGAAGTTTGTGAAATGCCATGAATCAATTATAAGCCCCTTTACAAGGCCTCAGTGTGGGGCTCAAACGAGCATCAGCTGCATCGTGGAGCTAGAGTCGCGCGCGCGGTATACCTGCCACCGGTCCACGTCACTATTGTCACACCAATCACAGCGCCAATACCAGTCCAGCCAATCTCACAAGTTCCTCGAGTTTTGCTCGAGTTCTCAGAAGACTATTGAGGTTTTGAAGACTTGAGTTCCCAAATGAACTGTTTTGGAACTACTGTAACCGCTGTATACTCAAGAATATCCCTAATTGACCGCAGTCAGCAAACGAGGATTGATGATGTGCCCTAGACATCTGAACCGTTCTGTGCCAGGGTACTGCTGAGCTGAACTGACAACAGTGCAGCAAACAGGGATGCTCGCCTCGCCTCGCCTCCTCCCCCTCACGTCAACAAGCTCTCGCCAGATCTGTCTTTTTGTTGGATGTAACAAGGGGAATCCGCTTAGCTTCGAACAAGGGTTTAGTTTTTTGTCAAGGCTTGTAGCGGCTGCCGCAGGTCTATCCCGTGTTTCCCGCGTCTGGCCTCCAATCATGCACATAGCTTTCTCTTAGCCTCCGGTCTCGTTGACGCCATGCGAAAGCTGGCGAGTGGGCGCCAGCGTGAATGGCTGCCATGGCGAATCTGATCGTTTTTCACGAGCATAAGTCTTGACTGTCCTGTTGGTGATCCGATTAACTGACACTTCGGCACGGTGGATAGAGCTTCACAGCCCGGCTCTGCGTGTCTGTGGGACCGCCTGACTTGCTGCTCGTAAGGTGTGAATTCTCCGTCCCTTCAGTCTTTAGGGAACTAATTTCTAAGGCTTGCGTGCACGTCCTGAGACATTCTCAGGCTACGATCGACTTGTTGTGCGTCTGCCTTCGTAGAATCTGTAAAGCATAGGTATCAAAGGTCGCGAATGTCGGTTTATCGTCGTGTCACATGTCACCTGCCGTTAGTTTCGCACAACGAACGCACGGATGGCCACATGCACGAGGAGAGCGGGTGGGTTTGCATGCAAAATGGGTCAGTGAGTGAGGTCATGGAAGGGGTGGATCAGCGAGTTAAGACGATTCCATGCCGTCTTCATAGTGTTCGCATAGGGAGGAAGTTAGGCAACCAAGAGCACAGTGGATTATGCCGGAATCGCTGCAGTCGCTGGATGGATCTGGGCGGAATTCGTGACTTCCGATCTAGGCGGTAGGCATGCGTGTCTATGTTGGTTCACGTAGTGTCATTACGCGTCCCGCAACACCCCTTTCTCTACATGAACGTCCTCGTTACGGATCCGTTTCCTCTTCCTTCTCTAGTCACCCCTCCTGTAACGCCCTCGTCCCCTGCGTCCCCTCGCAACCCTAACCAGGAAGAACCGCAGCTTTGGTTTCGCTTGTCGAAATGCAGCCATGGCTTCTCCAGCTGCCCCCTGCCCGCCGGCGCACTCTCGCGCTCGGCGCAGCGTTGCTGGTGGGCGGGGGGGGCGTAGCAGCGGTCGCGTATTACAGATCCGTCGCCCTCGCGGCCGCCGTTCGGCGCAGGGAAGCAAGAGCGGCGCTGGCGCTCTCTGGCGCGTCAGGGGTTCAGGCGGAGGGGGAAGCGGCGGCGCTAATTGACGGGGCGGGGGACGAGGATGGCAGGCGGAAGAAGGCGTCGCGGAAGGGCAAGGGCGGGGAGGGCGGCGGAGCGGAGAAGGGGCGTAGGCGGAAGAAGGGGGGAGGGATGGCTTCGGTTGGCGCAATATGCAGCTTCCTCGCTGCGCGGATGGGCGAGAAGGGGTGGCAGCGGCTTGCTGCCTTAGCAGCCATAGCAGTAAGCGATCTGGGATATACTATATCTGCTGTCATAACCATAGCCAAGCCATAGCCTTAGGTATAGCTGTAGCTACAGCGATGCTCCTTTGCAGCGATCGGCAGTGTTTTCTTCGATAGACCTTCTCGCATCCCCTTCAGAAAGCCCTTCCAGTTTCGCTGCGTGCGCGCTCCGTTTCCCCTTCCCCTTGCCAATACCCGGCCCATCTCCTCATCTCCCCCCATCTCATCTCCGCCTTCCCCGTCTCTCATCCCCACTTCCCGTCTCCCATCCCCCCATCGCGCACCTTCCCCCGCCATCCCCCCTTTCCCCCCTCCCCCGTCCTTCCCCCCAGGTAGTGCGCACGGTTCTGAGCAACCGCCTGGCGCGCGTGCAGGGGCTGCTGTTCCGCTCGACGTTCCTGCGCAACGTGCCGCAGTTCACACGGCTGATCACGGAGAACCTGCTGCTGTGCCTCGCGCACTCGCTCATCTTCTCCTCCTCCAAGTTCCTCACCGGCAGCCTCTCGCTGCAGTGGCGCGCGCTGCTCACCTCCGCCATTCATAAGCTCTACTTCAAGGTGAGGGGGTGGGTGGCTGTCTTTTGAGGCGCGTCAAAAGTTCCTCACCGGCAGCCTCTCGCTGCAGTGGCGCGCGCTGCTCACCTCCGCCATCCACAAGCTCTACTTCAAGGTGGGGGGGTGGGTGGGGGGTGGTGCTGCGCGGGGGGGGAGATGCGACGGGAGTGGGGGTGTTTCTGCGCATGTGAGGGTCATAGGATGGGAGGAGTGGGTGTTGCTGCGCGTGAGAGGGTGTTGCAGCGCATCATACACTGGTTTCTCTCCAAGTGCTCCCTCATTGCGCCCCGCCTATTCCCTCCCCCCAAATCCCCCCCCCCCCACACCTGGTACCCCTATCCCTCTCTCATTCCCCCAGGGCATGGTGTACTATCGCATGTCGCACGTGGACAAGCACACAATCTAGCACCTTATAGTGCTCAAGTACATGTGCTGCTTCCCTCCCTCCGCCCCCCCTTCCCTCCTCCTCAGGGCATGGTGTACTACCGCATGTCGCACGTGGACAAGCGAGTGGACAGCGCGGAGCAGCACATCACGTAGTGCATCTTCCTCCTCCTATCATCCCCTTTCCCCTGCGTGGCTCCGCTCTCCTCCCCCTACCCACTTCTCCCCTTCTCCCCCCAGGGCATGGTGTACTTCCGCATGTCGCATGTGGACAAGCGAGTGGACAGTGCATCGTATAATGCAACTTCCCTATCCAATCGTCCCTTTCTCTGCTCCCCACCCCTTCTTTTCCCCACTCCTCCTTCCACCCCCAGGGCATGGTGTACTACCGCATGTCGCATGTGCTCAAGAACACGTGCTGCTTCCCTCCCCCCCCCCCCTCCTCCTCCCCAGGGCATGGTGTACTACCGCATGTCGCACGTGGACAAGCGAGTGGACAGTGCGGAGCAGCGCATAGTGAGCGACGTGCCGCACATCTGCAACGAGCTGGCGGATCTGCTGCACGACCTGCTCGTCGCTGCCACTGACGCCGCCTTCTACACCTACTCGCTCACCACCTACACGCACCCCAAATACGCTGGCGGGATCCTGGTCAGTGTGGCGTGAGAGGGGTGTCCAGGGGGGGTAGAGAGGTGTTGAGTGGTTGCGGTCGGTTGTGGTGTGGTGTTGGATGTGGTGTAGAAGGTACCATGCTTTTTTGGGAAAACAGCCAGATCGCTTGGCCATGGGGTCAGTCTCGGGTGTCCCCTCCCCCCTTCTTCTCCTTCCTCCTTCATTGCTCCTTACCAGTGCCCATTCCCCATTCCACGCTCGCCACTCCATCATTCGTCTCCCGTCCTTCCCTCTTTTCTCCCTCCCTCCAATCTCCTACCTCCGCCGTCCCTCACGCTTTCCTCCCCCATCCCTCTCCATCCCCTCCCATCTCTACTCCCCACTCCCGCATCCCCGCCCTCCAGGGCTACGTCCTGGCTGCGGGAGCCCTCACGAGCGCGCTAGCTCCCCCCTTTGGCAAGCTCCTGGGGAAGGAGCAGCAGATGGAGGGCGAGTACCGGCAGCTGCACGCGCGCGTGCGCACACACAGCGAGAGCATCGCATTCTACGGAGGCCACGGACGGGAAGGCGCGCTGATCTCCCAGGCGTTTTCCGCGCTTGTGAAGCACAGCGCAGGCGTGCTGCGAACGCAGTGGTGGTTCGGGATAGTGCAGGACTTTCTGCTGAAGTACTGTGGGGCTACCTGGGCCGTGGTGCTGATTATCGGGCCGTTCTTCGGCGCGAGTATGCAGTCGCAGGGGTCGAGGGAGGCAAGGGCGGAGATGCTGTCTCGCATGCGGTACCATACGTCCGTGGTCATTGCGCTGTTCCAAGCCATGGGTACTATCGCGGGTAGCTCCAGGCGAATCATCCGGCTCAGGCAAGTGGCTTAGGAAGGATGATGGATTTGAAGAGGTTTTGATATCGTTTCATATGGCTCAGGCATGTGGGGTGGTTCACATCACAGCTGTCCCAATTCCTATGCCGCTTTGTCCACTATCCCTTGCATACCCCTGTGTGCCCTTTCCTCTTCTCCTCGTCCCACCACTGCAGTGGGTACGCAGACCGTATATGTGAGCTCATGCAAGTGGCCAAGGACCTAAGCCAGCAAGACGCACACATGCACACGCAGGGAGACGGAGCCGAAGGAGGAGGAAGAAGAATCAGCAGCAGCGGTGGTGGTGAGGGGGACAATAACCCACTGGTCGTGGCCAAGGCAGGGAAGGCGGCGCAAGGGGAAGGGGAGGGCGAGGGTGGTGGTAGCGGCGGGGGCAAGTTTGCAGAGGCAAAGTACATAGAGTTTGAGAATGTGACCGTGGTGACGCCGGCAGGAGCGAAGCTGGTGGATGGGTTGACACTGCGAGTCAACCCGGGAGAGAACCTGCTCATCACAGGTGAGAAGGCCAGAAGGTTACTGCTCCTTTTTCTCCTCCTCATCCGTTTTCCCCCTTTCTTCCTTCCCCCTTTCTTCCCCCTTTTTCTCCCACCTCTCCCACCTCCCTTCCAACCCTCCCCTCCTTTTCCGTCCGTCTACCCCTGCTTCTCAGCCTTTTTCTTTTACCCCTGAATGCAGCACGCCCTTTTTTCTATGCCTGCACTCTCCATCTGTTTTTCTTTTTTCTTTTTTTCTTTTTTTTTCAGCATACTCCCATCCCCCACCGTCACCATCACCTCTCCCCCTCCTCCCTCTCCGCTCCCTATTCGCTCCTCTCGTCATCTTCTCCTTCCCTTCCCCCCGCGTCCCCGCTCCCCACCAACATCCCTCCCTTCCCCCCTCCCAGGCCCCAACGGCAGTGGCAAGAGCAGTCTGTTCCGAGTGCTGGGAGGGCTGTGGCCGCTCGTGGAGGGGCGGATCAGCAAGCCGGGGAGAGCAGCGGACCTGAGTCACGACATATTCTACGTGCCGCAGCGGCCGTACATGGCTATTGGCACGCTGCAGGACCAGCTGGTGTATCCACTCACTGCCAATGATTTGCCAGAGCCGCTGCAGGAGGAGCGGCTAAGGGAGATGCTGCGCGTGGTGAGTGTTGCGAGAGGATTTCTGAGTGCTACTTAAAGAATGTGCCGCAGCGGCCGTACATGGCTATCGGCACATTGCAGGACCAGCTCGTGTACCCACTCACTGCCAACGACCTGCCGGAGCCGCTGCAGGAGGAGCGGCTGCGAGAGATGCTGCGCGTGGTGAGTGTTGCTGATGGTTGAATGTTGAGTGCTGAGTGCTGAGAGGATTTCTGAGTCTACTTATTAAATGTGCCGCAGCGGCCGTACATGGCTATCGGCACGCTGCAGGACCAGCTCGTGTACCCACTCACTGCCAATGATTCGCCGGAGGCCCTGCAGGGGGAGCGGCTAAGGGAGATGCTGCGTGTGGTGGGTGTTGCTGGGGGCTGAGTGCCGAATTGACCGGGGGGCGTTGTGCTGTGTAGATGGACCTGTGTGCAGGCGTGGGGCTGTGATGTGAGCATGTGCGTGTGTGTCTGTCTGTGCGTCTGTCTGCATGTGCGTGTGTGTGCCGGAGTGATGGCGTGCTTGTGGGCCGGGAGTGTGTGTGGGGCGGGTGCCACACGTCTCCACCACAGTTCTCTTATGGTCCTTTCCTTTCCTTTGGACTCGCAGGTTGACTTGGAGGACTTGGTGGACCGGTGTGGCATGGAGAGGGAGGTGAACTGGGGGAAAGGTGTCCATAGAGTTGACTCCTCATGCCTCCACCCGCTTTCTGTCTCTGTCGTTCCAATTGATCGCAGGTTGACTTGGAGGACTTGGTGGACCGGTATGGCATGGAGAGGGAGGTGAACTGGGAGGGGAGGGGGTGGTTTGAGTCAATTCTTCACGTCTCCACCTCCTTGCTGAATGGGCAGGTTGACTTGGAGGACTTGGTGGACCGCTACGGCAAGGAGAGGGAGGTCAACTGGGGCGAGGTCTTTGAGTGTACGACCCCTCACGTCTCCTCCCGTTCTGCTGGATGGGCAGGTTGACTTGGAGGACTTGGTGGACCGGTATGGCATGGAGAGGGAGGTGAACTGGGGCGAGGAGCTGTCGCTGGGGCAGCAGCAGCGCTTTGGCATGGCACGCCTCTTCTACCACGCACCTGCGTTCGCCATCCTAGACGAGTGCACGAGTGCTGTCACCACGGACATGGAGGAGAGGTTTTGCCGGCTGGTGGAGCGCATGGGCACGACGTGTGTGACCATCTCGCACCGCCCTGCCCTCGTGGCCTTCCATGAGACCGTGCTTGCTCTTGATGGCGAGGGCGGATGGACCGTTCATTATAAGACGTGAGTGCGGGGTGGGGGTTTGGAGGGAGGGGGAAGGGGGCGGAGGGAGAAGCGTTTCCCCGTACAAAGCGCAGAAGGGCCAAATTTTTAGATCTAAGGCTTTTCGGATCACTACACGTCGTTTGTGGATCTTCCTTACCTTCTTCCGCCCTTCTTCCTTCCCCCACACATCGCTGTCACCCCCATCCCAATCCCCATCCCCATGCCCACCTCCCCATGCCCACACCAGCAACCCCTCGTCTCCCGGCTCTTCAGCATCCATCGTGGAGCAGGTGGCGGGGGCAGAGGGGTCACCGTGAGGCAGTGCGGTGGTGGTGGGGGGCACCACACGTTCCCCTCACTTGCGTTCTCCCTCACTTTCTGCTGGCCTCCCATCACCCTCCCCATTCCCACGCCCCACCAGCAACCCCTCATCCCCAGGCTTTTCAGCATCCATCGTGGAGCAGGTGGCGGGGGCAGAGGGGTCACCGTGAGGCAATGCGGTGGTGGTGGGGGTTACTGCATGTTCCCCTCGCTTACCCTTCTCCCTCACCTTCTGCTACCCCGTCCCACTCCCAACCCCATCCCCATCCGCACCCCCATCCCTATCCGCACCCCTTATCCCCATCGCCCCACCAGCAACCCCTCGTCTCCAGGCTCCTCTGCATCCATCGTGGAGCAGGTGGCGGGGGCAGCGGGGGGGTCGCCGCGGGGCAGTGCCGTGGTGGTGGCGGGCGGGGCGAGCGTGCGCGCAGGAGGTGTGTCGGAACGCAAGGCGGACGCGCAGGTCAACGCCACGCACTTCCTGCACGCCACTGACGAGCACATGGTGCGGATGGGGGGAAAGCGGGAGGAGTTCAGGGGAACTGGGGGAGGGGGCGGTTGAGGAAACACATGGTAGGGCTGGGGGTGCAGGGGGGCTGGGGGGTTGCATGGAAGGCGGACGCGCAGGTCAACGCCACGCACTTCCTGCACGCCACTGACGAGCACATGGTGGGGCTGGGGGGAGGGGACTGGGGTGGGGGACTGAGGGCCCCGTGGGGGAGGGGGTGCTTGAGGTGTGGCCGGGGCTGCCTGGGGTGCTGGGGGTGCTTGTGGATCAGGGGGGTGTGGGGTGAGGCGGACGCGCAGGTAATCGCCACGCACGGCCACTGGCGTATCCATGGTGGGGCTGGGGGGAGTGAGAGGACGGGGGTAGTGCATGGTCGGGCTTGGGGGCCGGGACTGAAAGAGCACATAGTGGGGCTGAGGGGGGGAGAGGTGAGGGAGGGGAGTAGCGGAGGAGTGTTTGGTTTGGGAGGGTAGCCAGGCATGCAGCGAGAAGAGGGACGATGGAGGGGGAAGAGGTAAGGAATCTTGGGTATTGCAGTGCAGTAAATAACTGCTGTGATGTGATCTGGTGCTGTGTGCTCATGCATTTCCCCGTTCTTTCCCTCCCCTCCCCTTTCCCCTCCATTACTCCAATTTCCGTCCGCTTTCCTCCCATTTACCTCCCCTTTCCCCCATGCTTTCCCTTTTCCTCCCTCTTCCACCTCTGCTCCCACATGCCCCACCTTTCAGGGAGGCAAGGCAGCACAGCAGGCGGAGGAGGTGAGGATAGAGGGCGAGGTGCTGGCATTGTCGCCGCCCATAGAGGGACCGCTGCCCATCGTGCCGCACATCCGACCCAAGAAGCGCGGCTTCTCTGCCCGCCTCCACGCCATGATCCGCATCCTGGTACGCTCTCACTCATTGTTCACACATGCACACATGCCGTTCACACATGCACACATGCATGTGGATATGAACTCTCACACACGACACAACCGCGCCCACATGTGCACGCCCAGCATGCTGAAAGTTTCCAGAGGTCGCCAAAAGGCACGCTCACTCCACGCGTGCCCTTCCCACCCGTTCTCCTCCCCCGCATCCCCTCCAGTTCCCCAAGCTGGGGGGGGTGCAGACAGCGCAGCTGGGGATGCTGGCGTTCCTGGTGGTGGCTCGCACTGGGCTCTCCGACAGAATAGCTTCCCTCAACGGTACGCGGCTGAGCACCATCATGCCCTCATGCCCTCATGCACTCATGCCCTCATGCCCTCATGCCCTCATGCCCTCATGCACTCATGCCCTCACGCCATCATGCCCTCATGCCCTCATGCACTCATGCCCTCAAGCTCTCACGCCCTCATGCCCTCATGCCCTCATGCCCTCATGCCCTCATTCCCTCATGCCCTCACGCCCTTATGCCCTCATGCCCTCATGCCCTCATCCCCTCATGCCCTCATGCCCTCATGCCCTCATGCTCTCATGCCCTCACTCCCTCATGCCGTCATGCCCTCATGCCCTCATGCCCTCATGCTCTCACGCCCTCTCTCACGCCCTCTCTCACGCCCTCATGCACTCATGCCCTCACGCCATCATGCCCTCATGCCCTCATGCCCTCCTGCCCTCATGTACTCATGCACTCATGCCCTCATGCCCTCATGCCCTCATGCCCTCACGCCCTCATGCCCTCATGCCCTCATGCCCTCATCCCCTCATGCCCTCATGCCCTCATGCCCTCATGCCCTCACGCCCTCATGCCCTCATGCCCTCATGCCCTCATGCCCTCATGCACTCATGCCCTCACGCCATCATGCCCTCATGCCCTCATGCACTCATGCCCTCACGCCATCATGCCCTCATGCCCTCATGCCCTCATGCACTCATGCCCTCACGCCATCATGCCCTCATGCCCTCATGCCCTCATGCCCTCATGCCCTCATGCCCTCATGCCCTTATGCCCTCATGCCCTCACGCCCTCACGCCCTCATGCCCTCACGCCCTCATGCCTTCATGCCCTCATGCCCTCATGCCCTCCTGCCCTCATGTACTCATGCACTCATGCCCTCATGCCCTCATGCCCTCATGCCCTCATGCCCTCATGCCCTCATGCCCTCATGCCCTCATGCCCTCATGCCCTCATGCCTTCATGCCCTCATGCTCTCTCGCCCTCTCTCACGCCCTCATGCCCTCACGCCCTCATGCCCTCATGCCCTCATGCCCACCAGAAGCAAATGCATGCTGCGCTGTGATGTGATGCATGCAGCGAGGCTGAGCACAGCACTGTGTGTGTGTTATACCATTGTGTATCTCACTGCTGTGACCTGCCCAGCTTTTGGCTTGAAAGCAGCAATTCAACGGCCCACTCCCTCTCCACCACTACCCCTTTCTCCCTCCCCTCCGTCCTCCCACATCCCCTCTCCTCCAAATCCACCCTTCCCCTTCTCCTCATCCCCCCTCCGTGCATGGAGCAGGCACGAGTGTGCGCAATGTGTTACAGCAGGACAAGGTTTATTAGATGTCTTAAATACCCTCTCCACTCTTCCCCCCATCTGCGTGTGGAGCAGGCACGAGTGTGCGCAATGTGCTACAGCAGGACAAGGTGGCGTTCATGCGTCTCATTGCCGTCTCCATTCTGCAGAGCCTCGCCTCCGCTGTCATCGCCCCCTCGCTAAGGTGCGCACGCCCTGTTGCTCTGCTGCGCTCCTGCCCTGCTGCACTCCTGCCCTGCTGCCCTCCTGCTCTCGGCCCACTCACGGCCCTGCTGTCGTCTGCCGTCGGTCCTCTCCCATCTCGCCCTCTCCCATTTTGCGTCTTTCGTATCCTGCCTCCCTTCGTCCTTTGTTCCCACATCCATCCACGCTCCGCATCGCCCCTCTCTCTTCTTCTTCCATACATCCCCTCATGTTCTGTCTGCATGTGTGAATGGCGTGCATGTGCGTATGTGTGTGTGCGTGTGTGCGTGCATGTGTGTGTGTGCGTACACACTCCTGCGCAAGAACAGGCATCTGCAATCCTCGTTGGCACTGGGATGGAGGCGACACCTCACAGCCCACCTCACCCGCCTCTACTTCAGACATAACGCCTTCTACAAGGCATGATACACATTGAATCCCGTGCACCCAAAATCTAATCATTTTTTATTTTGCGTGTTAGGAGTCTGTTCTTAGAGGGCTTCAAAAGGGCATCAGAGCCTTTTCACCTGCCTCTACTTCAACCGCAACACCTTCTACAAGGCACGCCTTCTGTGCAGTGCCATCCCATGCCAAGCGCGACCCTGTTTTGTCGTGCCCTTCCCTCTCAAAACTCACCGCCACTCCCTTTCTCCCTTCCTTCCCCCAGGTGGTGGCGCTGGGAACGGAGGGCCTAACAGACGCGGACCAGAGGCTATGTGACGACGTGAACCGGGTGTGCTCGGACGTGTCAGGGCTGGTGTCAAGCCTTGTGAAGCCCATCGTGGATATCTTCTGGTTCACCTGGCGCATGCGCTGCCTCACAGGGCAGAGGGGTGTGGCCATTCTGTATGCGTACATGCTGCTGGGACTGGGCTTCCTGAGGGCGATTACCCCGGATTTCTCCTCGCTCACGGCGGAGCAGCATCGTCTTGAAGGCGCCTTCCGGTGTGTCTGCTGCTGCTCCTTCTGGCCCTGTTGTTCTGTCTTTCCTTGTTCCTTTTGAAGCCCCCCTCCTCCTTCTCTTCCTACCCTTGTGCCCTTTTTTTTGCCTTTCGCCTGTTGCTACTTCTTTGTTCTTCATTCTTCTCGAATGCTGCTTTCCCACGTTTTTGTTTTCCACCACCTTGCCGTGACCTCTCTGCTTCCCATCTCCCTTCACCTTTCCTCCTCCTTCCCTTCCTTAATGCTCTTCCCCCTCTTCCGCCCTCCCTCGTGGCAGCTTCATGCACTCGCGCCTGCGCACCCATGCTGAGTCGGTGGCATTCTTTGGAGGAGGCGATCGCGAGCATGCGGTATGATGCCATGCCATGCCATGCCATGCCATGCCATGCCATGCCATGACATGCCATGCCATGCCATGCCCCTCTCACCTACCACCCCTCTCACCTGCATGCCACGCCATTGTTGCCATGCCTTGCCGTGCCATGCTGTTCCATTCCAGTGCATCCCTGTGCTCGATTCTCATGTGCCCTTTGCCAAGGCCACTCGCCCTACACCTCCCACCGGCACATCCCTACCCCTGCTTGGATATCCTACCCTTCCCCCTCCGCTCCCACTCCCCCTCCCTCTCTCCCCCCCACCCTCCCCTCCCCGCGGCCCCACTACCACTCCCTCCCCGTTCCTTTCGTCCCTCCCCTCCCCAGGTGGTGGCGGATCGGTTTGACCGGGTGATGGAGCACAGGCGGGGCGTGCTGTCACGGCGGTGGTTCTTTGGTATCGCGGACGAGTTCATCACCAAGCAGCTGCCGCACAACGTCACCTGGGGGCTCTCCATGCTCTACGCCATGGACTACTCGCTCACTGATAGCTCCGACAACCAAGGTGGGAGAAAAGGGAGGCCCTCTTTATTGGCCTTAAACCCTCCATTAGTAATTTCATTCGAACCTCATGACCCAGTCCGGTCTTACTATCTGCTGCTGCCTTTGAAAAACTTCAAAGGCTCGCTTACTACTCTGATCTTGAAGAAGATGACCTCGTTGTTTTACTCAATGCATGTCAAGGGTTACTTCGCCTGGCAATAGGCTACAACAACTGCTTCTTTGACAAGGTGATGGATGCAGTCAAAATGTTGTTTTTCCCGTCCCTGAACATGCTGTTCTGTGAGAAACATACTGACGTTGGTGTTGACGGGCTTCTGAGAACCTTTCTCAGGTTGCTGCGGAGGTGTCAATAAGCGACCTGGGAAACCTTCTCAGAAGCTTGTCAAAATCAGCGGCAGAAATTCTCTCACAGGACAGGGACGAGGGAAACAACAGTTTGACCGCATCTATCACCCTGTCAGAGAAGCAGTTGTTGTAGCCTATTGTTAGGTGAAGTAACCCTTAGCATGCTTGAGTGGGGGGGGCTGTTAGGAAGGAGGGCCCTGCTAGGGTGTTTTGGCAAGAATCCGTGCTTCCCACCTTGTTACTTTCTCCTGCAACACTCTCCCCACTTTTCCCCCTCGCTTCCCGCCTGGGCCCGTGCAGGCTATCGTCTAGAATCCAAAATATAGAACCTCTTCCACCCCCTCACTCCCCGCCCACTCCTTTCACCCCCTCACTCCCCGCCCATCCCGTGGCTCGGGTCGAGTGTGTTGGGGTTGGGGTACGACCTACGCTTTGTGGCATTGCCTGAGTCGCACTCATTCCTGGCACTGGACATTCAGAGGAGCTGTTACCGCAACGTGCAGGAGCTGATGCACTTGCCTGCCACCTTCACCCCCTCTCCCTCTCGCTCCTCCCCTTGCCAGGCGTGTTGGCACATGATCTTCGCTTCCTGGCGTCAGTGGTGTCGCACTCGTTCCTGGCGTTTGGGGACATCTTGGAGTGTTACCGCAAGGTGCAGGAGCTGGCGGGCACCATTGCGCGTGTCATGGGGTTGGATGAGGCGCTGCTTGCTGCACAGCACGGTGAGCGCTGCTGCTTTGTTCTGTTCTGCCCTGTTCTTTTTTCTGGGTACATATTCCGGGATGGCATGGTGACTAAGGGTGTGCCTTGTATTGGTACACGACTGACAATGATGCGTGCTTTGGAAGCTTTATGCGTTTCTGTATCTCTGTTCACTCTTCCGGACCCACTTCTCGTCTGTTGGTAAGATTCACCACCTTCTCAGCTTCTTTCCTTGCAACCTTAATTCGGTTTGTTCCTTCCCTTCCCGCAAATCTCACCCGTCGTGTCCCACCCTCTTCCACCCTCCCAGACCTGGCTCCTCACAACATGCAGCGCCCGGGGTCCTTCACAGGGCTGTTGGCGCTGGCATCACAGGCACCAGACGCGCCAGTGGCGCAGGATGTGGCATTCCTGAGAGTGGACGTCCCCGCACAGAAGCTGCGCGCTCATCGTGCCTCCTCCATCCCTCATCCCTCTCCCCATCCAGACCTGGCCCCTCACAACCTGCAGCGACCAGGGTCCTTCACAGGGCTGCTGGCGCTAGCCTCACAGGCACCAGACGTGCCAGTGGCACAGGACGTGGCGTTCCTGGGAGTAATTGTTATCACTCCTGCTCAGAAGCTGCTTGCTCATCGTGCCTCCCCCATCCCCCATCCCCCATCCCTCTCCCCATCCAGACCTGGCCCCTCACAACCTGCAGCGCCCGGGGTCCTTCACAGGGCTGCTGGCACTGGCATCACAGGCGCCAGACGCGCCAGTGGCGCAGGACGTGGCATTCCTGGGAGTGGATGTCATCACTCCCGCGCAGAAGCTGCTGGCTCACAAGCTCTCTGTGACTGTGCACCCGGGGCAGTCGCTGCTCGTCACCGGCCCCAACGGCAGTGGCAAGAGCAGTCTATTCCGAGTGCTGGGAGGGCTGTGGCCCCTCGTGGAAGGCACGATACTCAAGCCAGGCCTCCCACCGATGACAGCAGGCAGCATGCTGCTAGCAGAGGGCGCCACAGGCATCGCCACAGGCGGCATGTTCTACGTGCCGCAGCGCCCGTACGCTGCTTTAGGGTCACTGCGAGACCAGCTGATCTACCCGCTCTCGCGAGTGGATGCGGCTCAGAAGGTCGTGGGGTTCCGCGCTCCTGCTGCCCTTGCTGCTGCAGGGAAAGGTGGGTGGAGGGGAGGGGACGGGACGGGGGGGTGAGTGGGGTGGAGTGGGGTGGAGTTGGGTGGGATGGAGTTGGATGGGAGGCCGACAATGCTTTGCTATTAGGGCTACAGGAATAGGGTTTTACGCTTGGTTTGGGATAAAGGGATTACACCACTTGTCTCCATCGTTCTCCTCTACTCATCATGGCTGCTCCCTCTGCCTCACCCTCCGCCTCCCTTCCTCCTCCACCTTCCTGCTCCTCTCTCCCCCTCCCACCCAACCCCCTCCCCTTCCCCAGGCGATACCCCAGCGGCGGGGTGGACGGCAGCGGTGGAGGCAGCAGCGTTCCGCGCTTTGGACGAGCAGCTGGCGCGCATCATGGAGGACGTGCGGCTGCTCTACCTGCTGGGCCGCGAGGGGGGGTGGGACGCCACCGCCACGTGGGAGGACACGCTCTCACTCGGCGAGCAGCAGCGCCTGGGCATGGTGAGAAGAGAAGGGGGGGGGGGAATGGAGGGGGGAGTGGGGAGATGGGGAGACAGAGCAAGGATTGGGGGAGTGGGAGGGGTGGCTGGGAAGGCGGATGGGACGCCACCGCCACGTGGGAAGACACGCTCTTGCTCGGGGAGCAACAGCACCTGGGCATGGTGAGAAGGGGGGGAGGAGGGAAGGGGGGCTGGGGAGATGGGGAGACAGAGCAAGCAAGCAGTAGCACGAGAAGAGGGGGTGGGTGGTGGGGAGATGGGGAGACAGGGCGGGGATTGGGTAGTGGGAATGGTGGCTGGAAAAGAGTGGCAGAGGGTGGGGAAGTGGGAGGCGGGGTGGAAGGTGACTGGCATGTGGGAGGACAGTGGGATATGGTGAGAAAACAGAGTAAGTGAAGCTCTAGGAAGGTTGGTTGCTGGTGAGTGATTGCTGAGTGCGATGGGCGGTGATGTGTGGGGTACAAGTCTCATGTGACTTGATTCTCCCCTTCTCGTTTCCAATCCCTCGTTCCCTCCCTCCCTTCTGGTAATTGTTCACCCCTCCTTTAACCCCTCTGTATGCCTCCTCCTCTTGCTGTCCCCCTTTCCAACCATCATCTCCCGTTCCTCCTCCCCCACCTGTCAGGCCCGTCTCTTCTTCCACCGTCCCAAGTTTGGCATCCTGGACGAATGCACCAAGTGAGTGGACGGATGGGACTAGACAGCCTGTGTGCGGGGGGTTGTGGGTGGAAGAGGAAGGAGGGGAGAGGAGAGGGTAGAGCGGGAGGGGGAGGAGGGAGGCGGATGGACGATTTTGCTGTTTCTGGGAGTTTCTTGCAATGGAAAGGGAGAGGCAGCAGGGCAATTTCACTCAGGGCATGCATGCATGTTATTTGCCCAAATTGCTCTCCCTCTCTCCACTCGATCAGCATTCTACATTTCTTTTGCATGTTGCTGCCCATCCCAGTCCCGCATCCCTCTCCCTCTCTCCCACTCTTTCATCCCCTTCTGCATCCTTGTGCCCCCCCTGTCCCCACTATTCGCTCTGTGCTTTGCGCTCCTGCCCCTTGTGTTTCCCCCCTCTGCGCTGTGTGCCGCGCCTCTGCACCCTATGCTTCCCCTGCCAGTGCAACGAGTGTGGATGTGGAGGAGGCTCTCTATGCACGCGCCAAGGAGCTGGGCATCACTGTCATCACCATCTCCCAGGTGCCCTCCGCACTTCCATGCCTGTCTGTCACCTGCCATGCCTCCCCACATCCCACCTGCACCCTCACTCGCTACCGGCTGCTTTCTTTGTCACCCCAAGCACAGCCTTCGCGAAATCTCGAAGGTTGAGTTTTGAGACGTGTTTCGAAGCTTTGAGTTGAGACATGTTATGGGATTGGTCGAAATGAGCATGACCTCTGCCAACTTAAATTTTGTGGCCGCTATGCTATCATACCGCACCTTTCACCCTCGTTTGACGGACAGACTCTGTGGCCAGATAGGTATGCTGGCCAATCCGCTAGCCACCTTAACTGCTCCTATGCCTCTGCCTCTTCTCCCTAACCTGTCTCTTTTTTTTGCCCTCTCCTGTCCCTCCGTTTCCCCACTTCTCCCGTCTAATCCCATTTCTTCCCCACGCAGCGGCCTGCCCTGGTGCCGTATCACTCGCAGGAGCTGCGGCTCATAGATGGCGAGGGCACATGGGAGCTGCGATCCATCCGCGTTGCCACACACCCTGCAGACGCCGTGCCCGCTGCTGACGGTGCTGTGCGGTCCAAAGTGGTGATCGAGGAGGTTGCAGTCAATGGGGAGGCCGAGGGCAGGAAGGATTCGTCTTCATATGCTGCGGTGGCTGCTGCAGGGACCCTGACTGAGGAGGCATAAGAAGTTGAATGTACTCTGATGGTAGCTCTTCTGCTATACTCTGACAGTAAATGTTAAAAGACTTAGGGTAGCAGTTTCGTAGGCGATCCATCTACAAGCATGTTTAGCTGACAGCGTAAGAGGGCATGTCTCAGCATGTAGACTGAAGTACTGTATACTGAAATCTAGCATTGAAGCTCCGTATTCTGTGACTGAGATGAGGACAACAGCAGAAGGCTAGATTGTGACACGAAGCTAGTCCATGCTTTTCCTTTTAATGGGTGAAGCTCACTGCCGGATCGGCGAGAAATTCAATAGAGCTGTTTCCAAGGCTTCATTTCGTGAAATTCTCAACCCCTTCTGCAATTTTTCCCATCAAAATACTAGCTAGAACCGTCAATCTAGAAGCTGCGAGGTGTAGAGACACTGGGGTTGACGTGACTAAAGTTGTCCCGTGTGCCTTGCAATATGGACTGCGAGAATTATGGCAAAAAGGCTATGCTACACAGCCCTACACGATTCACAAACGTGTTTATTTATGTATATGTATCTTGTACTAAGCATAGATTTACATATTCAGACATACCTTACCAGTTGCATGTTACCGTTAGCATAGATAAGCCAATATTTGATTGGCTAATCTTGCAAACCAATCAGTGGCTTTGGAGGATTCGAGGGAATCGAGAAATTTCGGGCCAACGGGAATTTCAAGAAAGTGCACAGTTTTGCATCCCCAACAGCAGTCTCACCGTTCTCTAAGGGCGCGTGTCTTTTAGTTTTTACATGCAAATCTCGATTTTTTGTTGAACTGTAGTCATATGAACCTAGCTCGAGCTAGGCTCGAGTTTTCACCAACTGCAAACCGAGCCGCGGTTCCACCCCTCCCGAAAATCACGCGACAAACAAAAGTTCAACTATCGAAGTTGAACTTTTGCAGCCCAGCCGAGCCGCGACCTACGCTTGTAGGTTACCCGGTTTGGGCTCTTGACATCGCGCCACCGGGACTCGCGCTGACGAGCACCCTGATGCTAGCTGCGAGCATCGCAGAATTCGCATCGTCGCTGTCAGTGATGAGGTGGACACACGCTCGCACATTCGTGCCAACCTGTTTGTTGATGAGGGTTCAACTTGGGGGCTCAACATTTTCCGATGCCGGAAGTGTACGTGGACACACGACGTCCTGGCGAATGTTTTGGTGAAATTGACGAATAAGGTAACCAGCAAAAGTTCAACCAAAAATCCGAACGTCTACACCAAAAGACACGCGCCCTAAACAGCAGTCTGAGCACATCCATAGGGAGTTGCGCGTCAACCACATGCCTGCTTTTCCCTGCCATGGGGCTTGGCTGGTCAGTCAAGCCAAGCAAACAAACATGAGCAGTTTTGATCTCATTGGGTTTGTTTGGTTGAAACCTCGGTTTGGTGTGGGAAAGATGCCTTGGAGTTGGTTGCCTCTGGCTGGTGCCTACGCTATTGCTACAGTGAAAAGAAAGACAACTGCTGTCTGCTTCATTCATTTCCCTGCAACTTTCTTGTGCAATAGGGGAGTGAAAGCATTTGTTTAGAAGAAGCGGTTGAGTGCGATGTTGTGCACTCTGAAGCGGTTTTTTTTGCTTCACCCCTTTTGACCGCTACTCACCAGCCCAAAAATTCATGCATGAACCGTGTAACAGACTGTCCGCCCTAACTCCATTTTGAATCGGCCATGGCCAATCCATGGCTCTTTCTCCATCGTTTCAGTAGAGAAACTCGTTTCGGTTGCATCAGCTCTCAGCGCGTCAGCAATTCCTTCTGGTTGTATTCGCTATCGGACTGTACACCAATTCTGAGAATCTAGGGAATTATGTGTTTCTCATACAAACAGGTCCCGTATCTATCAATGTCCATGTCTCGGATAATCTGATCCAAAGCACAACTTCAACGGGTAAATTGGGGTTTAAAGCTGTCTCGGTTCGCATCCCTCTCATGTCATTCCCGAGAGAAAGCACTTTGGTAAGAATGACAAAGTCCGTTCGATCGAGATCAGCGCTTCTGGGACACGCCTAGCCTCGTCATCACCAGCAATTGTTAGGTACGCTGAACAAAGATTTCATAGAGGAATCATGAGCGGCGTCTCGCACGTGACTCCCAGCCGCAGCGTGCTGATGGGTAACGGATCCGAGCCCAACCGGCGAAACGGAACTATCGGTGTCTCCCCTGCTAAGCTGGCAAAGACGGCGGATGCAAGTTTGAATGGACAAATGAGTGATGTTCCACAAAATAACGTGCTTATAAGGAGCGGGGGTAATGATTATAGTGGCGGGAAGGGCCGAACGTTAAAGAAGTCGGGTTCCGTGACCGCTGGAAGCGATCCAGTGGCAACGCAAAAGTCGCAGGCCCAGTCGCAGGTGGCGTCGCAGCTGTCGTCGCAAATCCCGCCGCAGTCGCACATCCACGCCATGGACGGAAATAGATTGCTGTCGCAGTCGTCGGGGCTGAGATTGGCTGAGCTCTACGCATTGGCGATGCAGCAGAAACAGGAAGCCCATAGCGAAGGAAATGGGGACATGGGAGGTGGTCATGGGGATGAGGAACCCGAAAGACCAGCGGATTTGTACAGTAGTGACCTAGGGTTCCGTGCGAGTGAGGCTGATACGAGACCGGTATCTTCTGGGCAGGTGCATGAGGAACCGAAGACCCTGGCGAGGCAGCAGCAGGTTTCCCTGCTGATGCAGCAGTCGCAGCAGCAGTCGCAGCCGCACGGGCAGTCGCCGGCGCAATCGCAGCAGCATCGCCGTTCCCCTTCACCCTTTCTTCGCCAGGATCCGCAAGGGGATGTGTCGACGCAAATCCATGCGCAGCAGTCGGGCGGGCGGAAAAGCGGAGAAGGCGGAGCAGGGGCACCTGAACGAGCAGCCACCTCAGCAGCTGAACAGGTGGCACGAGCTGATTCGGCAGCAGGCGGTGCAGTTACAACAGCTGCTGCAGCAGGCAGAGCACCGGCCGGGTTTCCCAGCACAGCCAGCATTGGGGAGGTTGTCCCGGAGGCAGAACGTAGAGCAGCAGGACGGATAGGAGGGGCAGGAGGCTCAGGAGGGGCAGGAGGGACAGGAGGGACAGGAGGGACAGGAGGGACAGGAGGGACAGGAGGGACAGGAGGGACAGGAGTGTCACGAGGGACAGGAGGCGTAGGATTGACATCAGAGGCATCATTAGGCGGAGGAGCCACAGGAGGAGGCGCAGGAGGGGTTGCTGCAGGCGGGGAACTGTACAAAGAGGTGGAAATGGTGGTGGACAGGGGGCGGTCACACCTGCTGTCCGAAGCAGCACGAGCGAAGCATGACGCTGCGAGGCTGAGAGCTGACGTGTCGCACATGTGGCGGGAGGTGGCGAGAGCTAAAGAAGACGTGGCACGGGCGCGGGAAGAAGGGGCAAGAATGGCGGAGAAAGCAGCAGGGTCGTTAGAGCAGGCAGCCGTTGCACTGGAGCTTGCGGCAGCCTGCGAACATGCAGTGGGGGCTTGTGTGGGGAAAGAAGGGGATGGGAGCGCTGGGATTCGCGTGGTTGTGAGAATTGACAATGCCGTGGGTGCAGGGGCGTTCGGGGGAGGACCAGCAGGAACGGGAGCCACGTCCACTCCCTCGTCTGCAGCTTCCTCGCCACGGTCCCTCCATGCCGAGCCGTTTGGTTCGGCCGTACGTGGCTCGTCGGGTCGGGGTAACCGAGCCTTCCCGTCCGTTGTGCCTATCCGGCTGCCCACGCGGATGACTGGCGCGCAGGCTTGGAGCCTTCCTCGCAGCGCCACCTGCACGCCGAATAAATCCTCTGCGTCGGCTTTGCCTCCCCCATCTCCCAACACTCTCAGAAAGAAGCTATCCATCTGGAGTGTGGCCTCTGGTTCGTCTGCCGCTGCCACTGCTACCACTGCTGCTGCTGGAGCTGACGGTTCTGCTAGTATGGGCGGTGCTGCTAGTGCTGCCGCTGACATGGCTTCTGGGTCGGATTCTCCTTTTGGAGGATTCCCTTTAGGGTCGGGAAGCGGTGGTAGTGGTGTTGGGTTAGGGAGCGGGCCTGGGAGCAACAGCAGCAGGCCTGGTAGTGCGTCCAGTCGCCCCGGCAGTGGGAGAATGAGATTAGCTGCAGGAGGTGGTAGTGCCGGCAGTGGAGTCATAGGGAGTGGGAGTGAGGGTGCGTTTCAGCAGCAAACGCAGCAGGTGCTGGTAGTACATCAAAGGTCTCACTCGCAGCAGCAGCAGCTTCTGCGGCTGCAGCAACAACAGCAGCAGCTGGGGAACAGCATTGCTTCGTCCGTACCCGCTGTCCAGGCTTGGCCGAGCCACAAGAGGCCTGGTAGTTGCGACGGATATCTCTCGTCCAATCAGACGTCTCCGCGAGCTGACTCGGTGGCGGACGTAGGAGATTCTGATGGCAGTGATGCCAAGGGGTTGGAGGGCTCTGTGGCTGGTGCAGGGAGTGGTGATCTCTCTGCCGCTGCTTCTTCTGCTGCTACGTCTGGAGCAGGAGCAGGAGCCCCTCCAGTTCGCCGAATATCCTCTGCAGTAGGTATGGCAGCAGCAGGTTCGGGAGGCGCTGGCCGGTCTGGTCCGGGTTCAGGCCCGATTGCAGTTCGGGGAAGTCGGGTTTTAAGGAAGATCAGCACCTCTCCAATGAGGGTCTTACAAGCTGTTAACTTGCCCCCTACGGGATCAGCAGTAGCAGGGGCAGCTACAGCGGCAGAAGGAGGAGGAGTTATGGGAGGAGGGAGAGGAGGGGGGCTTATGGGTAGAACACGGGGGGCGAGCAACAGTGTTCCTGCTGCTGCTGCTGCTGCTGCCGGCTCTGCTGTTGCTGGTGGTTCTGCGGGTTCTGCTGCTGCTGGCGGTGGTTCTGGTGGCGGGACAGCGGCAGGGTCGGGCCGTGGAGTGGGTAGCGCTGCAGTTGCTGCTGGGAGTGCGGGAGGCAGAGGTGCCACGCGAGGGGTGGCTGGAAGAGGGGGGCTGGCGGTGGGTGGTATGGGTGGCGGGGGAGGGGGTGTTGGAGGAGGAGGGGGCGGAGCAGGGGGAGGAGTAGTGGGGGGAGGAGGTGGAGGAGGATGGGCAGGAGTAGTAAGCAGGCCTGGCAGCTCTGGTAGTATGCGGAGTATGGGCAGGGGGGGAGGCGACAGGGGAGCTGCAGAGGCGGGAGGAGGAGGAGGAGGGGGAGGAGGAGGAGGAGGAGGAGGAGGAGGAGGAGGAGGAGGAGGAGGAGGAGGAGGAGGAGGAGGAGGAGGAGGAGGAGGAGGAGGAGGAGGAGGAGGAGGAGGAGGGGGAAGGATGATGGTGAAATCCGGAAGTCTCTCTGGCAGGACCCCTCCTAGTGCTCATGAGTCGGTGGCTCGTAGCGACAGCAGCAGGAGCGAGGAGCAGAAGTTGCCAAGACAAGCAGGCCCTTCTGCAGGTGGTGCGGCTGTCACGAGTGCAGAGGTCACAAAGGTGGTGAACCGTGCCGGTTCCAGTGATGCTGATGCAGCTGCTGGCGCTGCTGGTGCTGCTGTAGGTTCAGAAAGTGGAGGAGGGGAGAAGAGAGGAGGAGGAGGGGGAGGAGGGGGAGGAGAAGGAGGAGGGGAAGCAGGAGGGGTGGAAAATGTAGGAAAGGAAGGTGCCATCGTAGCTGCAGCATCAAGGGAATCAGGAGGGATGATTGGATCTGCCACGGGGGCAAGTGCAGGGGCAGCAGCGGGGAGAACAGCAGGCACAGGTGGTGCGAGTGCAGGTCTTGTGCGGGGAAACAGCTTGCAAAAGGGAAGCACTAACCTGTACAGAGCAGGTTCAGGCGTGCACATGCCCATGCACATGCACATGCCCATGCACATGCACATGCCCATGCACATGCCCATGGCCATTCCTGGTGCCCGTGACACTCACGCATTGTTACGAACAGGGTCTGGTATGGTAATGCAGATGCCGGTGCCGCATATGGCTGGGGGAGTAGCAGCAGGATCTGCTGCTGGTGCTGGCGCATTAGGGTTTGGGATGTATGGAGGCACGGGCACTGCTGGTGCAGGTGCAGCAGGGGCAGGGAGGGGAGGTGGTGGTAGTGCTGGTGCTGGTGCTGATGATATGAACAACCCCTTTCACCGCTCCACGTCCCTTGGTGTCTCAGAAGGCCGGCTAATGGCCAGAGCAGCAGCATATGGAGGTGCCATGATGCGCCCTCCCATGCACGCCATGCCTATCCCTGCTCATGCCGCCGCCGCTGCCGCCGCTGCTGCTGCTGCTGCTGCTGCAGCTGGCAGTGGTGGAGCGTTGGGAGCAGCCGCTGGTTCTGCTGCTTCCGGAATGGCTGCAGCAGCAGCAGCAGCAGCAGCGCCAGGAGGGGCGTTCTGGCAACGGTCTATGTCCAATGCGCATCAGCACATGCAGGCTATGCAGTACGGCCATATGCCCGTGCCGCTGGGTCCTCTTGGCTTCCCCACGGGCCATTCTGCTGCGTCGTTACTGCGCCATGGTAGTGGGCAGTTCCTCCAGCCTTACCCTGCTGTACCGGGTTTCATGGCACCCGGGACCTCTGCTGCTGCTGCCGCTGCTAATCCTTCTGCTGCTAATACCGCAGCAGCAGCTGCTGCTGGTGCTACTGCTACTGGTGCTGGTGGTGTGGCTGCTGCTTCTGGCACTGGTACAGCAGCAGTGGGGCGGAATGAAGCACCAGGGCATGCAGCCAACCAAGCGCAGCAGCAGCATCTCCCTTCGGGTGCCTCTGCTGCTGCAACAGCCATGACCCAAGGCCTGGCGTGGCAACCCTCGTCCCATGCCACCCCTGCTGCTACTAACGGTGCTGCTGGTGGTGCTGGTGCCGGTGCTGGTGCTCCGAATGCTGCATCTGAGGCATGGGGAAGGAGCAGCACGATAGGAGCATCGAGGCATGGCTTCAGTTCCGCTCACTTGCCGCGTGGCATGGGTGCGATGGGTTACGGGGCAGGTGCAGGCATGAACGTGAACATGAATATGGGCATGGGTATGGGCATGGGTGGCATGGGGATGGGCATGGGCAATGGCATGAATTTGGCTCGTTCCATGAGCATGGATCCCATTCAAAAGGCCAAATGGAAGCAGGGTCTGAGGCTGCATATACCCAAGGATGGCAGTGACGATGATGGGGAGGGGGGCAAGTTTGCCATGGGAGGGGCAGCAGCAGCAGCCCATGCAGCAGCGGCGGCTGGGAGAGCAGCGGCGGCCGCATCAGCAGTTGCAGAAACGCAGGCAGCATCCGCAGCAGCGCGGGGAAGAACTGCTGACTCAGCTGTAGGAGAAGGAGCAGGAGGAGTGAGAGGAGGAGGAGGAGCACGAGGCAGTATATTCAAGGATCCTGCAATTATCCAACGGCTGGGGGACTCGCATCAGGAAGCTCTGCAGCGGCGGCGGCGGGGGGGAGGGGAGGGGTGCAGTTGTTGGGCGTTGGAGGGGATGGGAGCCGGTTGCTTTCACGCGCTCAGAGCTGCAGTGTTGCAGAACTGGACTTGATGCCTCCGGAGCTCATGAAAACCACGTCGTTCCATGCGCATAGTGGCCAGGGCAAGGAGTTTTTCCTCCGGCAAGTCACGCTCCCCACACAGCGCACGTCTGCTGCTGAGGATTCTTCTGCTGCTGCTGCAGGGCCTGCTGCGTCTTTCGAGGCGCCTCGAAAGGCCTCTGCTGCTGGACCTGCTGCGTCGGCTGCATCTGGTGCTGCTGATGGTCGTGGTGGGGGAAGAGTGGTCAAAGCAACTAGATCAGCCAGTAGTGGTGGTGGTGGTGATGGTGGTGGTGGTGGGGTCAGCAGTGGTGGTGCTAGGACCGTTGCTGCCCCTGCTGCTCCTGCTGGGAAAGCAGCAGTACCGGCTGGTGCTCTATCAGCATCCGGAGTTGCAGGAAACAAGGGTCAAGCGAGCATAAGAATGAGGAAAAGTGGCAGCATCACTGGTAGTAGTAGCAACCAGGGAGCTGGCAGTAATCGTGAGGGTGGAGGCAGCAGCAGCGCTCTGAAGAGGTCGGAAGGCCAGAACTTAGGGAGAATTGAGCAGCAGAGGATGGTTAAAGGGGGGGAAATAAGGAGGAAGGAGGGAAGCGAGGGAATGAGGAGGGATGGAAGTGAGGGGAGAAGTGAAGTTGGAGAGAGTAGGGCAAGAAGCGCAGGCTACGTACCGGCCTTACCTGCTGAGTCTTCCTCCTCTTTCTCCCCATCTTCGACATGCTCTAGCCCCCCGCCGTCCGCACGCAGAGGGAGGAGTGTGATTGTGGATCCAGAGGGGAGAGACAGGAGAGGGATGAGGGAAAAAGCAATTGGGGCGCTGTCTGGTGTAAGCAGTTCTCTAGGGCAGGCTTTGAGGGGAGGGGGGAGAGGGGCAGGTGGATCGACAGGGAGGGCTGTGGCAGGTGGTGGAGGTGCGATTGGTGTTCAGAATAGAGCGGCAGGAAGGGGAGGTGAGGTGGGTGGGAGAGATAGGCCTTCTGTAGAGGACACTGCGTCTTCGTCTATGCAGTCTGATTATGGTGATGAGGAGGAGCTGGAGGAAGGTGAGGTGCAGGATGATGGTGTGAGCGAGGAAGACAATGGTAGCGATGGTGATGGGAGATATGAAGATTTAGAAGCTGGAGGGGAAGATGATGGGGAAGAGGAGGATGGAGCAAGCGATGGTCAGGAAGAATGGGAAGGCGAGGGAAAAGTAACAGTGAAGGTGGGGATATGTGAAACGTGGGAAAGGAATGTGCATAATGTGTTGAGCTAGTTACTGGCACTTGTGGAAGGAGTGGGGGGGGGGGGGGGGGGGGGGGGGGGGGGGGGGGGGGGGGGCTGGCTTTGAATTGCAAGATTGCTGGTTATGGAGTAATGTAGACGTGTCCGGTAATTGTGGGAGACCTTTCAACCATGTATGACCTAAGTAAACGAGGAGATTAGCGGGAAAAGGACATATGGTAACAACATATGGTCGCATGGCTTGGCTCCTGACTTGTGTTTGCACTTTTTGGTGATTTTAACATGTTTATAACAATCCACTTTTGTGGCTTTCGCTATAGGGTTCTTCGAGTCAACGAGGGCAGATGAAGTAGGTCCACCCTCGCTTTGACCCCGCCAACGACAGCGGTCAATTTTCTTCCGCCTAACCGACGAAGTCGGTTTCTTTGAGACTACTTTGGGCAGTCGGTCTGAAAATGTGATCACGGTCAGAAGGTTTCAAACGTATAGATTCTGTATGCAAGGGTTGTATGACAGTATTTCTCGCATCCTTGTTGTGTACATAACCTCGGACAGCCCTATAAAGTTTCAAGGGTGTGCCCTGCAGTCAAGTTCCTGGATTTTTGTAGAAATTTCTTGGTTCTCTCTGCTGACTGCCGCCTACAAGCCAAGTTGCGGAATCCACCCGCAAGAAGAGTTTCACTTCACATCCTCCTCCAGGGCTGCTGTTTGCTTCGTCTGGCGCGCCACTGGCGCTGCTTTCCCTCATTCGCGCTCCGCGCCACCTGCCCAGTCGTCAACCAGTTTCCCCAAGGTCGGGCATATCGCTGGCAATCCTGCCCTTGCCAGCCTTTGATTGGTTGGTTCCATATGTTGCCTCTCCGCCGTCGCGTCTTCCACTTCCCCCACCACGCACTTCCGCGCCTTGGGAATCGGGCTTGGGAACTTCGGTCATCCCCTCCCCTCCCCAACCAGGCTACTGCATGCTGCTCTCTCAATTTCCACAGAATCTTGAGAGTTTCGTCAAACCCACCGGGCCAGCACTAAGCCGAGGCTGCTGAGCAATCGTCGCATCGCTGTTCCGTTGCTCTTGCTTCCTGTTCCAGCTTAAACTCAACCGTATGCTACGAACCGTGTCCTTCCATTGCAAGCGGGCCTTGGAAAGCAGATTTTGTTATTCTTCGAAGAAGTCGAGATTGGCAGCAGCTCGAGAACCTATCGATATGGAACAATTCTCGTGAATTCACAAGCACAACGTGCTGCGAGTTCACGTCGAAATCGTCATTTTCGCAATGGAGAATCACAAATTCTATCCCTTCGAAAAAATCCTCGCTAATGGACTTCGCGCAACACGAAACACCATCCCGCAACGGATATTTATATTTGAAAGCAGTGGCCGCTCTCTGCGCGTTCACGCATCTGCCATGATTCTGCTGTTGCTTGTCCTGCCGCTCCTGCTCGCATCGCTCCCAGGCCTAGACGCAACGTGCTGCGGATCGACCAACGGCCCTGCTGTTTCCACCAGTAGTAGCGTCAATCGTGCAAGGGGACTCGGCCGAAGGGCGCAGTTCATGGGCTGGCATGGTAGCATCAGCAGCCCTGATACTACTTACCGTACTAATATTGGTATTCGAGAAGCGAGTAGTAGACGCAGTAGCGGCGGAAGCAGCAGCAGCTACAGGGGGAGCGGCAGCACTGGCGTCAGTCGAGGCCAAAATAGTGGCGGAGAAATGGACGCTAATATGGGAGGAAGAATCCTCGAAGCTTCGATATTGTCAGATAGTGGACTGTTTTCCGCAGCGCAAAGCTCATCCGGTGACTTATCTGGTAAACCGGACATCAGCCTGTAAGGGTGTAATTTGTTTCTCGCTGATCTGCTACATATTCGGGCTCACCACTTTTCCCCTATCTCGTTCCCTTTCTCGATTTTCGTTCCTGGCCTTTCCTTTTCCGCTTCTCTCCGTCCTGCCGTCTCTCTAGTTGCGCATCCCTATCTCCACCTCATCCTCACCTTTCAAATACCCGTTCCTCTTCCCCTCCAATAAATTTTCCCACCCCGCGCTAGTCCATTCCCCGTTCAACCTTTCCCTCCTCGCCCTCCGTTCCTTCCTTCCTCCCATCCCCTTCCCCACCCCGCAGCCTCCGCCAACCTTCTTTCAAACCCCAGTTTTGAGGGCGGCAGCTGGGACAACTATGGCAGCGCCGTCACCTCCGCCTGCTTCCCCCCTTCCCCCACTACTGCGCCCTCCGGCCCCCTCCTGGGCACATGCGGAATCCGCCTCGCGCCCTCCTGCTCATCTTCTCCAGGTGACTCCTGCTGGGGCGCCCTGGGTCAGGTGGTTCCAACAGAGCCAGGTGCCATGTACCAGCTGCAGTTCTACTTTGCTGTTCCCGCACCCTCCTCCTCCTCCCTCCTCCTCCTCCTCCTCCTCCTCCTCCTCCTCCTCCTCCTCCTCCTCCTCCTCCTCCTCCTCCTCCTCCTCCTCCTCCTCCCTCTCCACCCCACCTTTCGAGCTTCTAGTGAAGATCAGCGGAGCACCAGTGCTCTTCACATCCGAGTCTACCACCACCGCAACTGACACCAGCAGCAGCAGCAGCAGCAGCAGCAGCAGCGTGGGAGGGCTAGTGCCGGGGCGATTCGCCATGGGGTCTGTGCTGTTTGCTGCGGGAGGGACAGGCAACACGAGCATTGTGTTCCAGGTCAACAGCACAGCCGTCAGCACTCTCATTGACGCTGCTGTGCTCACCAGGATCTACCAAAATGGTACGCGAACGTGCGCCTACTGCCTTGCTGCTGCTGCTGTTGTTGCTGGTGGCCCTTGTCTCTGCTGCATCGTTCATCTCGTTTTTTCTCTCTCTCTCCCTCCCTCGTCCTTCATTAGTATTCTTTTGGCACTCAAATCATAGTCCTTCTGTACGCTCGCTAATTCCATAATACGTCTCCTCCTGATGCTCCCACATTCCACCCACGATCCAACAGTGACATCGCTCTTTTCGTTCCCAGCCCCTCCCTCCTCCTCTCCTCCTCCCCCGTCCCCCTCCTCGTCCTTCATCTTTTCCGGCTCTGCTTCTCCCAGCCCTGTCTTTGCAACCAGCCCCACCTCCTTGCGCCTCACACCACCCATCGCTGCCTCTCCCACTGACGCTGGCGCGGGTAACACTGGTGGTGGTGACACGAGTGACTACTCTCTTCTTTCCACTGGCGCCGCCTTCTTCCCTTTGCCTCTGGAACTTTTTTCTCTCCCACCCGCTTCCTCTTCTTCCTCCTCCTCTTCCTCCTCCTCCTGCTTGCTCGTCAAACTCCTTTCTTTCGTCGTTCACTTTCACAGCACTCCCCACACCCGCCTCCTCCTCCTCCTCTCCCCCTCCCGTGCCCTCTGGTGCACTCTCCTTCACTCTCTCCTCCACGCCCACAGCCGGATCAGGAGCATCCTCTCTTGCATTTGCACGCATGTGCCACGGCCCACCCCCTGCCCCGCCCCTTTTCTCCTCCCCTCCACCCCCTACATCCTCCTCCTCCTCCGCATCCTCGCCTTCATCGTCCCCCTGGCTCCCATACCTAGCTCCTGGGAACGTGTCTATTATGCCGTGCCTTCCAAGCATCGCTGTCCTTCTGAATAGCTGGCAGGATATTTCCCTTGGTGCTTCTGACAGCATCAGCAGCAGCAGCAGCAGTGATGGTGCTGGTGGCAGTGCCAGTGCGCAAGAGACAGTAGGCCTGGCTTTCAACTTCGATGCAAACCCTCTCTTTTCAATGCCTGCCGCAGACCTACTTGCTGCTGCAGCAACTACCAGCAGCAGCAGCAGCAGCAGCAGCAGCAGCAGCAGCAGCACGTTTCTCGACGGACAGCCGCACACAGTCACAGTTGAGTACTGTGCCCCAACACGCACTCTCTCTGTCGCCCTCTTCTCTCTCCCTTCTCAATCCGACCCCTCCTCGCCTGCTGGAGGCTCCACCACCAGTCCTCCTGCGTCTTGCCCTCTCGCACAGTATCTCGCTTCTACCAGCAGCAGCAGCGGTGGGTAGCAGTACGGCCGCCGCTTTTCAAGCACCGCTTGACCTCTGTACTGCTCTGTGGCCTGAGACTCTCAGTTGTACCAGTGGTGCATGGCCGTTGTATGCGGGTCTAGCGGCAACAGCAGTGGGGTTCGAGTATCAGATCTCCCAATGGAGCTTCCAAGGTGAGAGATGGATGGGGAGGGGGGAGGGAGAGCGTGCTATTTAGGATTTAGGATGCAGTGCATTGAAAAAATGAAGTTCGCCCTTCTGCCCCGCCTCCCCCATTGCCCAACCCATGGCCACTGTGACTCGTCAGTGCTGTATTACCCACCCTATAAGCAAAACACATACGGGGAAGAGAGTGTATGGCATGGATATGGCTGGTTGGTCTGGAGAGATGCATGGGCAGCGTTCAGGCAGCCTCATGGAAACAAGTGTTGTCGTATCTTGATTTCCTAGAATGCATCTAGCATAGCGCAGTGGTGATATTGCGTGGGTGGGTTGGGCGCGTAACGCATGGCGTTTGAGAGGTGCAGTGCAGTGTGCCTTGCTTGGTGTATTAAAGACGAGCAAACTCATTCTTACAAATCCCCACCTCCCGTCCTCCCCTCCTCCCGTCTGCCCATCCTCCTCTCCTCGCGTCCTTCGTCCGTCTCTCCCTTTCCCCTTGCTTTGCGCCCACAGCTTTTCCACAGCAGCAAGGCGCCCCCACAGGCCCACCCACAGGCGCCCCTCCGATGATCTCCAGTCCAGCAGGCACGCCATGGAGTGCCATCAGCAACGGGGGATTCGAGTCTGTGCTGCTGCGCCTCTCACACTCCCTCACTGCACCGGACTCCACCTCTCTCCCTTACTGGCGGCTCACTCAAGGCAACTTGTCCGTCCTAGTGACACCCCCTCCCTCATCCTCCTCTCCCTCCTCCTCCTCCTCCTCATCGTCCTCCTCCGATTCTTCCTCTTCTCCTCCCACCTCCTCCTCTTCCTCCTCCTCCTCCTCCTCCTCCTCCTCCACCCCTGCTGCCGGGTGGCTTCCTGTAGCCAACATCCCCCTGCGGCCCCTCAATGGTTCATCCAGCCTCGTCCTCCTCAGCTGCCCGGATATTTATTTTCCCGGGCAGGCAGCATGGCCCGGGGCAGAGTGCACGTCGGGCAGCGTAGAGCAAACAGTAACTGTTTCATCCGGGCAGCAGTATAACCTGACTCTATCAGTATTTGGGACTCCTGGAGCATCTGTTGAGGTTCAAATCAAAGGAAATGGTGTGGAGGGGAACACAGGAGGAGAGATTAGCTTATTTGAAACAATCACCCTTCAGTGTTCAGATACCATTATTCCTTCTCCATCCTCCTCCTCCTCCACCTCTTCTTCCTCCTCTTCCTCCTCCTCCTCCTCCTCCTCCACCTTGTACTTCGTCCCCCTCTCCCTCTCCCTCTCCCTCCACAGAGTGTAATGCTTCCACTGTAGTATATATCCAAGCCTCCTTCGCCCTCACTCTCTCTTCCACTCCAGCCATTGTCACCCTCACGCCTCTTCCACCAACAACCACCACTGCAGCAGGAGGGGAAGGAAGCAGCAGCAGCAATAGCAACAGCAGCAGCAGCAGCATCCAAGCGAGCAGTAGCAGTACCGACAGTGTTACGAGCAGCAGCAGTGTGCGCACGTTCTTTGTTGCAGTTGATGGCGTATCACTCCTGCCCTTCTCCTCCGCTGGCAAGACCCCTGTTGCCTTCAACCTGAATCGAAATCCTTTTTCCTTGTAAATCGTGCATACGTTTCTCCTCTGCTCCTCTATTCCATTTCCGTGCCCTTCTCTTGTCACCCTCATCGTCACACTATCATGTCTTGCGATGTTCGTTTTGGATTACATTCTCCTTATGTTACGCCGATGTGTTTGGGGCTGCCATAGAAAAGCACCCTACTCGATTCCAACATTACTTTCACTCTTGCTGACCCCCTCTTCTCTTGCTGACCCCCTCTTCTCTTGCTGACCCCCTCTTCTCTTGCTGACCCCCTCTTCTCTTGCTGACCCCCTCTTCTCTTGCTGACCCCCTCTTCTCTTGCTGACCCCCTCTTCTCTTGCTGACCCCCTCTTCTCTTGCTGACCCCCTCTTCTCTTGCTGACCCCCTCTTCTCTTGCTGACCCCCTCTTCTCTTGCTGACCCCTCTTCTCTTGCTGACCCCCTCTTCTCTTGCTGACCCCCTCTTCTCTTGCTGACCCCCTCTTCTCTTGCTGACCCCCTCTTCTCTTGCTGACCCCCTCTTCTCTTGCTGACCCCCTCTTCTCTTGCTGACCCCCTCTTCTCTTGCTGACCCCCTCTTCTCTTGCTGACCCCCTCTTCTCTTGCTGACCCCCTCTTCTCTTGCTGACCCCCTCTTCTCTTGCTGACCCCCTCTTCTCTTGCTGACCCCCTCTTCTCTTGCTGACCCCCTCTTCTCTTGCTGACCCCCTCTTCTCTTGCTGACCCCCTCTTCTCTTGCTGACCCCCTCTTCTCTTGCTGACCCCCTCTTCTCTTGCTGACCCCCTCTTCTCTTGCTGACCCCCTCTTCTCTTGCTGACCCCCTCTTCTCTTGCTGACCCCCTCTTCTCTTGCTGACCCCCTCTTCTCTTGCTGACCCCCTCTTCTCTTGCTGACCCCCTCTTCTCTTGCTGACCCCCTCTTCTCTTGCTGACCCCCTCTTCTCTTGCTGACCCCCTCTTCTCTTGCTGACCCCCTCTTCTCTTGCTGACCCCCTCTTCTCTTGCTGACCCCCTCTTCTCTTGCTGACCCCCTCTTCTCTTGCTGACCCCCTCTTCTCTTGCTGACCCCCTCTTCTCTTGCTGACCCCCTCTTCTCTTGCTGACCCCCTCTTCTCTTGCTGACCCCCTCTTCTCTTGCTGACCCCCTCTTCTCTTGCTGACCCCCTCTTCTCTTGCTGACCCCCTCTTCTCTTGCTGACCCCCTCTTCTCTTGCTGACCCCCTCTTCTCTTGCTGACCCCCTCTTCTCTTGCTGACCCCCTCTTCTCTTGCTGACCCCCTCTTCTCTTGCTGACCCCCTCTTCTCTTGCTGACCCCCTCTTCTCTTGCTGACCCCCTCTTCTCTTGCTGACCCCCTCTTCTCTTGCTGACCCCCTCTTCTCTTGCTGACCCCCTCTTCTCTTGCTGACCCCCTCTTCTCTTGCTGACCCCCTCTTCTCTTGCTGACCCCCTCTTCTCTTGCTGACCCCCTCTTCTCTTGCTGACCCCCTCTTCTCTTGCTGACCCCCTCTTCTCTTGCTGACCCCCTCTTCTCTTGCTGACCCCCTCTTCTCTTGCTGACCCCCTCTTCTCTTGCTGACCCCCTCTTCTCTTGCTGACCCCCTCTTCTCTTGCTGACCCCCTCTTCTCTTGCTGACCCCCTCTTCTCTTGCTGACCCCCTCTTCTCTTGCTGACCCCCTCTTCTCTTGCTGACCCCCTCTTCTCTTGCTGACCCCCTCTTCTCTTGCTGACCCCCTCTTCTCTTGCTGACCCCCTCTTCTCTTGCTGACCCCCTCTTCTCTTGCTGACCCCCTCTTCTCTTGCTGACCCCCTCTTCTCTTGCTGACCCCCTCTTCTCTTGCTGACCCCCTCTTCTCTTGCTGACCCCCTCTTCTCTTGCTGACCCCCTCTTCTCTTGCTGACCCCCTCTTCTCTTGCTGACCCCCTCTTCTCTTGCTGACCCCCTCTTCTCTTGCTGACCCCCTCTTCTCTTGCTGACCCCCTCTTCTCTTGCTGACCCCCTCTTCTCTTGCTGACCCCCTCTTCTCTTGCTGACCCCCTCTTCTCTTGCTGACCCCCTCTTCTCTTGCTGACCCCCTCTTCTCTTGCTGACCCCCTCTTCTCTTGCTGACCCCCTCTTCTCTTGCTGACCCCCTCTTCTCTTGCTGACCCCCTCTTCTCTTGCTGACCCCCTCTTCTCTTGCTGACCCCCTCTTCTCTTGCTGACCCCCTCTTCTCTTGCTGACCCCCTCTTCTCTTGCTGACCCCCTCTTCTCTTGCTGACCCCCTCTTCTCTTGCTGACCCCCTCTTCTCTTGCTGACCCCCTCTTCTCTTGCTGACCCCCTCTTCTCTTGCTGACCCCCTCTTCTCTTGCTGACCCCCTCTTCTCTTGCTGACCCCCTCTTCTCTTGCTGACCCCCTCTTCTCTTGCTGACCCCCTCTTCTCTTGCTGACCCCCTCTTCTCTTGCTGACCCCCTCTTCTCTTGCTGACCCCCTCTTCTCTTGCTGACCCCCTCTTCTCTTGCTGACCCCCTCTTCTCTTGCTGACCCCCTCTTCTCTTGCTGACCCCCTCTTCTCTTGCTGACCCCCTCTTCTCTTGCTGACCCCCTCTTCTCTTGCTGACCCCCTCTTCTCTTGCTGACCCCCTCTTCTCTTGCTGACCCCCTCTTCTCTTGCTGACCCCCTCTTCTCTTGCTGACCCCCTCTTCTCTTGCTGACCCCCTCTTCTCTTGCTGACCCCCTCTTCTCTTGCTGACCCCCTCTTCTCTTGCTGACCCCCTCTTCTCTTGCTGACCCCCTCTTCTCTTGCTGACCCCCTCTTCTCTTGCTGACCCCCTCTTCTCTTGCTGACCCCCTCTTCTCTTGCTGACCCCCTCTTCTCTTGCTGACCCCCTCTTCTCTTGCTGACCCCCTCTTCTCTTGCTGACCCCCTCTTCTCTTGCTGACCCCCTCTTCTCTTGCTGACCCCCTCTTCTCTTGCTGACCCCCTCTTCTCTTGCTGACCCCCTCTTCTCTTGCTGACCCCCTCTTCTCTTGCTGACCCCCTCTTCTCTTGCTGACCCCCTCTTCTCTTGCTGACCCCCTCTTCTCTTGCTGACCCCCTCTTCTCTTGCTGACCCCCTCTTCTCTTGCTGACCCCCTCTTCTCTTGCTGACCCCTCTTCTCTTGCTGACCCCCTCTTCTCTTGCTGACCCCCTCTTCTCTTGCTGACCCCCTCTTCTCTTGCTGACCCCCTCTTCTCTTGCTGACCCCCTCTTCTCTTGCTGACCCCCTCTTCTCTTGCTGACCCCCTCTTCTCTTGCTGACCCCCTCTTCTCTTGCTGACCCCCTCTTCTCTTGCTGACCCCCTCTTCTCTTGCTGACCCCCTCTTCTCTTGCTGACCCCCTCTTCTCTTGCTGACCCCCTCTTCTCTTGCTGACCCCCTCTTCTCTTGCTGACCCCCTCTTCTCTTGCTGACCCCCTCTTCTCTTGCTGACCCCCTCTTCTCTTGCTGACCCCCTCTTCTCTTGCTGACCCCCTCTTCTCTTGCTGACCCCCTCTTCTCTTGCTGACCCCCTCTTCTCTTGCTGACCCCCTCTTCTCTTGCTGACCCCCTCTTCTCTTGCTGACCCCCTCTTCTCTTGCTGACCCCCTCTTCTCTGCTGCTCTCCTCCTTCCCTCTGTACTTGGTTTACAGCAGCCGATGCAACAGCTGGTGCAGCAGATAGTGCAGCAAATGCATCAGGATCAGGAGGCGGATCAGGAGGAGGAGGAGGGGGGGAGAGCAGCGGAGGGAGTGGAGGGGGGATGAGTCCGTGGGCAATCGGGGTGATCATCCTCGCAGCCCTCTTTGCGTCCTCCTGCATTGGCTGCATCTACTTTTGGGTCCAAGCCCGCCGCAGCGGTGAGCATTTCATGGCATCTCATCATTTTCTACCTGTTTCTGGTTCACGCTGGTGCCAGTCTCGAGGTGACTCAAACCTCCCTGCTTACCATCCCCGGTGCCAATTCTCGTCATACATCTCGTTTTCTTGCACGTAACCATTCGCCCTTTCTTCTACCACACACCCAAGCATCCCATAACTTGCGCCTCGAAAGTTACTCCATCTGGGATGCGGATCTGGTACAAAGCCTCTCTGGGGTGCCTCAAAAACCTCTTTCTGCTCTCCCATCCGCCCACCCATGCAGCCCATATCCTAACCTGGGAAGACACGGGCATTGGCCAAGCCAAGCCCTTCCAAATATTCAAACTCTCAGAGTTGCAGAGAGCAACGGACCATTTCGCCCCGCGCCTGCTCCTCCCGGACGGTGCCCCTCCTGCTGATGCCACCCCCACCACTCCCACTTCTGCTGCTGCTGCCGCGGCTGCTGCGGCTGCGGCTGTGGCTGCTGCGGCGGTAGGGGGGGTGGCTGCTACTGTTGGTGCTGTTGCTGGTGCCGCAGCACGCACGCCGAAAGGAAGCAGTGAGAGGAATTGGCCCAGTAATGCTGATGGCCCCGACGGTGCTGCTGTGACTGCTGGTGCCGCTGGTGCTGCTACTGCTGCTGGTAGTGGTCGCGATGTGTTTGTGGTTGGGGGTGGGGCAGGGGTGGGTGGCACAGGGGGGGCATATGGAGATATGTACACAGCGAGAGGACCAACGGGACAGATGTGGGCAGTGAAGCGGTACAAGCAAGTGGAGTGGGTGGACAGGGGTGCTGGGGGGAGGGGGGGCCGGGGAGGAAGGAGGAGATGCGTAGGGCTGAGCACAGTAAGAGGAGGGAAAGGATCAGCAGAAGGAGCAGATGAGGAATCACAGGAGGGCCTGGAGCAGGAGCAGCAGCAAGAGCAAGGGCAAGCGCAGGGGCAAGCGCAGGGGCAAGGGCAAGGGCAGGGGCAAGGGCAGGGGCAGGAGCAGGGGGGGCAGGGGCTATCATTCCTGGAGGAGGTTGGCATGGTGGCAAGGGCGCAGCACAAAAGCGTGGTGCGCATCCTGGGCGCATGCCATGAGGGTCTAGAGCGCCTAGTGGTGTACGAGCACCTGCCCCCGCGCTCCTCCCTCTTCCACCGCTTGCACCGGTGCCGTGATGATGTGCTGTCTCTGGAGCAGCGGCTGAGAGTGGCTGTGGAGGTGGCGGAGGGACTGTGCTTTCTGCACTCGCAGCGCCCACCCATCGTGCACCGCAACCTGAAGCCCGGGAATATCATGGTTTCAGCGTCTGGCATGCAGGTGAGGTGGGGGAGCAAGGCGTGGGGGGGGATGGGTGATGTGGGTGGGGGTGGTGAGGAGGGCATGGATGTGGGGGAAATGGGTTGGTGCCTTGAGAGAGGAAGTCGAGTTTAGATGGCCTTACCTCTGCCAGCTGGTGAAGCTGACAGATTTTTCCTCCGACTCAGAAGTCCCCCATCGTTCCCTCCTCCTCCTCCCCTCCCTCTTTCCCTTTACCCATACCCCCTCGCCCCTCCTCTTTCCCTATGCCCTCCTCACCCCTCACCCTCCCCCTCCCCCTCGTCTTCGCAGGCGAAGCTGGCGGATCTGTGTTTTGCGCAGCTGTCGAGTGAGCGGCGTGGCAGTGTGGTGCCGAGGAGGGCGCAGGAGGAGGGGTACGTGGATCCCGAGGTGGTGCTCATGCCGCACCAGGCGCCACACACCAAGTCAGACGTCTTCAGGTATGTGCCTCTCTCTGACTCTCTGGCTCTGTGGCTCTGTGTGAGTTGTGTGTGTGTAGTCAATTGCAAAGAGACCCTGCTGTATCGGTTTCACCCTCAATTTTCTCAGCATTCGTCCCTTCTTTCTCCCTTTTGTTCTTTCTTTGGCTCAAGCGAGTCCACTACCGGTGCTGCTCTTCTAGTCGTGAGTGACAATGCGTTACAGCCTTTCTTCACCCACCCATACTTGGACTTGCTAGATTTAACTTCCAGGCAAAACTTCACTTCACCTGTGCCCTCACCCTCAGGCTCCTCCCCCCTCCAAGCTTTGTTGTTGCGCTGCTGGAGCTGCCAATGCCATACAGCTCGTGCCTCCCACCTCACTCACCTCCCCTGCATGCACTTCTTCCATCCAACTCCCCCCTCTCCCCCACATCTCCCCCCACCAGCTACGGCGTGGTGCTACTGGAGCTGCTGACGGGGCGGCTGGCCATCATGCCCGACCAAGACGACCCGCACCAGCGCCTCAACATCACCGACTGGGTGCGTGACGCTTGGGGGAAATGAGAGGATTGGGGGCAGGGGGAAACTGGGGATCAGGGGAAAGGAGGAAAGGAGGACGGGGGATGGCGGAAGGGGGTGGTGAAGTGGTGGGGTGGTGGCTTGAGAACTATTGGCGCATGGTGCCCTGTTAACAGTGCGAGGAGAGGGGACGTGGGGAGCTGGCACTTTTGGAAGTGTTATCATCCTTTGTTGTCACCTCAACCAATTTTGTACCATCCCCAACCTTCCTTTCTCCCCTTTTTCCCTTCTCGTCCCGGCCACGCGCCTCTCATTCCACCTGCCCACGCCCTGTGTCAATCCAGGCCGTCCATTACATCAAAGAACACGAGGTGCATCTAATCACAGATCCACGAATCGCCATTCCAGCGCACCTCCAGGCCTTCCAAGCACTGGGAGAGCTCGCAGTGGACTGTGTCAAGATGCCGTCCCTGCGCCGCCCCACCATGCCCACCGTGCTGCGCCGTCTGCTAGTCATCATCAAGCGCCGCTTCAGCCTGCGGGGGACCCCGCCTCCCGATCCCACCTTCAGCGGGTTCTATGCTGACGTGGCAGCAGATGCGACGGGTGCTGCAGGGGAAGGTGGTGGTGCTGCGGCTGCTGCAGCAGCGGCTGCAGCGGTGGCAGCGGCGGCGGCGGGTGGGTGTTTTTTCAGTGGGGAGATGCTGAACAGCCAGGATTTAAACGAGGCTTTTTTCAGTGGGGAGATGAGCGGGGATTTGAGTGGGGACTATGTGAGTAGCCAGGCGCACGCCTTCGCTAGTGCTGCTGGTAGTGGTAGTTTCGGAGCGGGTAGTGGTTCTGGTGCTCCAATTCCAGGTCTGTCCGGGGAACTGGTGAGCAGGAGTGGGCTTAAGAGGGGTAGCAGGGGAGCGGAAGGGAGTGGTGCTGCTGTTGCAGGGTCGGCTATAAGTGAGGGGGATGAGGGCGATGGGGTTGGGAGCAGAAGCAGAGGGAGCCGCGGAGCAGGGAGTGTCGGAGGCAGCAGTAGCAAGTCTGGTGGCGGTGATGGTGGTGGTGTTGGAGGAGGAGCAGCAGTGCTGGTTTCTCTACCTGAGGATTCGGGTAAAGCTGACAGATCTAGGTGCATGGATAGTGGGGAGGGTGTGGAGAGTGGGAGGTTGGCATCTGACCCTGAGTGTGTGGCTCTGGTGGCAAGAGACGAAGCAGGACAAGTGCAGGAGGCAGGGAGAGGCAATTGCTCGGATGGTGATGATGATGAGCATAATGAGGAGGAAGAAGCAGAGTATGATTCTGCAACTTCTGCATCGCTTCCTCCATCGGTGGGGTCTAGAACACGAGTCAGGAGCCTCGCACCTGCTGCTGCGCTGGCACCATCGCCACTGTCAGCACCACAGCACACTCCAACGCAACCACCCACAGTGCTGGCAGCAGCAGCAGGGATAGGTTCAGAAGCAGAAGCAGGAGCAACACTCGCAGCAGCGACGGCTGCGGCAAGGGCAGCAGCTGGAATGGCCTCTGATGATGAGAATGACTACGGCACTGACAATGACAGTGGTGCATTGTACGGTTTGCAGGTGTTGAGTGGGGAGATAGCGGGTCCAGTGGAGCCCACCCTCTCGTCAGCGAGCTTGGCACGGGGAGTGGGGTATGCAGGAGTGGTGCATTCAGGGGAGCTGCGGTCTGGGGAGTTGTACAGTGGAGTGAGCAGCAGTGGGGAGATTCCTTTCAGCTTTGGCTTGAGTGGACTGGACAGCGGGAAAGGCCTGAAGGAAGGAGGAAAGGATTGAGGCGTGCCTGCAAGTAGGCAGGCACAACAGCAGCTCAAGGGCCAGGGGAACTTGTGCTGTGTAGGGCCTTTGACGGTGCAGATATTGTTTACCGGCACTTGTTTGTTTGGCTGCTGCTACCGTGATTGGAAAGCTAAAGCAAGAAAATCGAGTATGAGCTGGGAGTAGCGCCGCATGCATGCATTTAGCTGATTGCTCACATCACATCTGTGTAACAGAAATCTCTGCCAGAAAACACATCAGATCAGGGGCTCCAGGTGCAGTGTCAGGCAGGCAGTCAAAGCGGGATTGGAGGGGGAGGGGCAAATACAGATGTACGGTAAGAGGAGAGCCCCTCATGAACCCCTCTAGCAGCATCCTTGTTCCTCAATTCCACATGCACCAGATTGGGCCTCCAATCAACTTGGTACCATAAAGGAGAGCAATCTTTACTACAATATTATTACTAACAGAAAGACTAGAACATGATCCATAAGATATCCACCTGTGAAGTGTAGTTTTGTTTTGTGGTGAAGGTTCGTGTCAGAATCCCAGCCACTAACCACTGGGATAAAAGGGTAGCGGGTGAGTGCGCCCATAACCCCCCAGGCCGACATGCCTGTAACCCTTCCCTAGGATCATCGGGGATCCCCAGTGGACCTCTGACACCCCCCCGCACTGGGATGCCCGAGGTGCACACACCGGGAATCGAACCCGAGACCTTCGCTCTGATACCATGTCAGAATCCCAGCCACTAACCACTGGGATAAAAGGGCTTGTTTAAGTAGCGGGTGAGTGCGCCCATAACCCCCCAGGCCGACATGCCTGTAACCCTTCCCTAGGATCATCGGGGATCCCCAGTGGACCTCTGACAGTTCGAGACACGGTAGATAGCATAGCACGCATATGGCAACAAATACGTGAAGCAGGCCCCAAATTTCAAGGGTAAAATACCCTTTTTGCCCTGATGGTAGGCCGCTTTTTCCCAGTTACCCTTGCAAAAACAGGGTATCAAATTTATTACCCTAGAGCAAACAGGCTAAGATTTGATTTACACTGATAACGATTTCTGTTACCCTGCCGATATCAGGGTGCACTGTATACTTCACAGATACCGAATCCTCTTAGCGAGAGTTTTCCTTGCGAAGCTGCGAAAAGTTTTTGTGCACCAGCCAGATTCGAACCTGCGACCTTCGGAATTCTAGCCTCACATCTGACTAACTAAGAAGTGCAATTAATAAATAAAAACCATTTCATCCTTTTAAAATCAGTGTACATGTTTTTTTAGGCTGTTTTTGGCAGGGTACGAAATATTTTACCCTAACAGTCAGGGTACTGGGGGCCTGGAACCCTGATTTGAAAGAGTGGACCTAAACCTATTTTGGGCCCTGACGTGAAGTCCCTCCCATGCCTTCCATCCATTCCTGCCACGGTCAGGTCAGATGATGCGTTCTTGCGAATAGCCCTGCCATTGCTATTCCTGCACCGGAGGAGACCACTAACACGTTAGAATAAATCACAATGCTTCACTAAAGTCTGACCAAAAGCATGCGAATTATTGTTGGAAACTTGTCCCGTCACAAGGCAAAAATTCACTTACGTTGTTAGCGCGCAAGCGTTCGATTCCAATTCAATCATGCTCCTATCACCACGCCGATCCTTGTCAATCATGCTTTGATGACGCCGATCCAGGTAGATCAAGCTCTTCGACTGGCACGATCTGACGTTGATCCTCCACTGGGTGTGGATGCAATGCTGTTGTCCGCACGTGAAGAGCCTTGCGTGCCGCTTTTCACGGTCGAAATCGCAGCGATCAGGTGCGCGCGGCCCACGTTGCCCTCGGGCCGTGATTGCGCTTTCTTTTTCCGCCTGACCGTCCAGATATAGACGAACGCCGCCAAGCCGCCCGCAAGCAGCAGCACCACGAGACCCACACCAATGCTGATGCCCAAAATCAGGCCCGTGTTTTTGCCTTCAACCGGCGGAGGGGGAGGCGGAACGGGAGGTGGCGGGGGAGGAGGAGCCAGGGGAGGCGGAGGCGGAGAAGGGGGACTGGGGGGAGGCGGAGGGGAGGGCGGAGGAGGTGGCGGCAACTTGACCTGGTCTTGAATGTCAACGGGCTCTGTGAGAACGAAGAAGTAGCTGCTGTTGAACGTGGTAAACTTGAAACACTCTGCTTTAGCGGGAGTACCCCCTTGATCCACCAGCGTCTGCTGGTCTATACCGCCTTGCATATTAATCAGCGTGCATTTTCGCGGGAAAGACACAAGCGACTGTGGAACGGAAAGAGACACCTGGAAGGATACATCTAGGTATTCCGCGTCCTCCAACAAGCCGAGTTCTTTCTGCTGCGCCGCTGGTCCCACGGGAGTGCCGGGGTAGAGGCGGAAGGAGACGATGGGCGAGAGGAACGCGAGCGAAGTGGCGTAGACGGGCGGGAGTTGCGCCGAGTCAGCAAAGGGCCACATACGCGACGTCAAAGGCGTGGCTGAGTTCTGGGACTCGGCGCGCTGCTCAAACCGCAGGCACAGCAGCGCCAGGGTAGGAAAGTACGGCACTGGCGTGGTTGCTCCGTTAATAGAGAGTTCCTCACATATTATCCCGCTGTTATCCGCCGCGTTGAGCAGGCGGACCTTGGCCGTGACGACCGCGTCGGGCGCCAGCAGAGACTGGAGCGCATCAGTGGGCACGTCGCTCTCCGCGCCGACGGACATGGCGGCCACCACGCCGTACATCGCGGGCTTCAGCGCCGCCATCGCGCGCTCCCACGCCGAGCTGCCGGAGGAAACGGGAGGCGACGACGCGAGCTGCCTGCCTCGAGCATTGTTTGCAACGAAAGAGCGACTGATGCCGCTAGGAAACTGGGTGTCACCCGGTTGATTGTGGTCGCTAGTTGGCAAAGCGTGTCCTGCATTACTGGCAGTCGATGAGAGCTCCGCGTGAGAAACACGATGGAGGATAGACAGTAGCGTCAACACAAGAAGCCAACGGTAACGACAGCTATAAGAAGGGCGAAGAGCCATGGAGGCAAGTGGAAGAATAGCCTCCCGTTGTGAAGCTGGTATGCAAAACACCTAGAACGAAGAAAATAAAAGAGAGGCTTCCACGAGAAAAACTGGGCAAGATATCAAGCCCTCCCCTTGACTCGTGCTTCGCATTTCGAGGGCGGTGGATGGGTGTTGTGGTGGGTGGGTGGTTCTGTCAAGCATGTCGGTGAGGAAAGCCGTTGGATTGGGAGGGCGTTTGCTTGCTAGCGTCAGGCAGCAGGGATCGCCGTTGATCCCACAGTGGTGTTCTGTACAGTGGCGTTGATGGGTGCGCGAGATCCATCAGGGACCACCCGTTTCCCGCCAAGGAGTTCGAAGGCATTCTCGATAAGGAATGAATGGCAACCAATCAAATTTACGCCACGTCGTCAAGTTCGGTGTTACAGTACCAGTTTCCGCAAATGATGACGTCAAGGGTGCTACTTTCGCACCAGGCCTGGAAGACCAACAAGAACAGATCAATACATGTCTATAAGGGCGTGTGAGGTCGGTTTTGAGTTCAAAATAAAGTGAGAACTTTGGGTGGTTACTCGTTTCGCCAATATCGCATGGAGCTATTAGCGAAAATTCGTCAACTTTGGGTTTGGCAACATGCGAACTGCAAACTTGAACAAGACTCGAGTTTTAGTTGTGAACGTGCTTCGGCATGTTCACATTCACGTGTGTGATTTCCCGCACGTTCAGTCATCGGGCGAAATGTGCGAGCGACTCACGAGTAGCAACAGTGGCACAACGAACTCACCACAGCCTTCGTGTACTGAATAGAGGCCACGTGGCGAGAATCGTCATGTTTGGGGAATGACGAGAGCTCCAGGTGGGCAACCTCTGATATTTGTACCCCAGTGTTGAAGGTGAGCTGGAGGTCTATGTTAGAGTATATATTTATATATATTTATGTACCTGCCTGTAGCTGTAGCTTTAGTGTAGTTATAAACTCTTTGTATTGGTGGTGCACCTCCTTTGTCTCCTATTTGTACCCTCGAGCCTATAGTGAACCCCCCTTCTTTCTCGACATTCCACTCTCTCGCCACTCTCCTAGGTTCCTAACCTAGCCTAGCTTCTTGATATGGTATCAGAGCAATAATCGGTCCTAAGGACCTATTTTTTTTTAGGATCATGGGTCCCGCGTTTTGCTCTCTGCAGGCCCCACTCGATTCGCGCTCCGAAGGCATACTCGTCGCGCCCCGTGCGCCCTCCTTCCCGTCGCCCGCGGCCCCACGTTTCGGCGCCCCGCGGGTCACCCGAGTCGCGCCCCGTGCGCCCTCCCGTTCGTCGCGCCCCGCTGCGCCCTGCTCTGCCTGTTCGTCGCGCCCCGATGCGCCCTACTCTGCCCGCGTCGCCCTGCCCGTCGTCCGCGCCAACGCCTGCACCTGCGCCAGCACTTCGAGGCCAGCGCCAGTGCGGAACGCAGCGCCAGCGCGTGCGCAAGCCGCGAAGCGCCAGCGCTGCGCCAGCCGCGAGGCGCCAGCGCCTGCGCCATCCGCGCACGCCAGCGCTTGCGCCAGCAGGGGACGCCGGCGCCGGCAGCTCCGTATGCCGCCCCCCCCCCCCCCCCCCCCCCCCCCCCCCCCGCCCTTCCCTTCCGCGGCTCCCGCCGTGGGGGGGGGGGGACGGGAGTTCTGGGGGCGGAGGGTGTGAACCACCAGTAGCTCGTCCCTCCCCCACTCTCCTTCCCTCTTACTCTCTCCCTGCAGCACTTGTTGCTGTCGGGGAGAGGGGGGGGGGGATGAGAGATGCTAAGGGAGGGTAAGAGAGAGTGGTGGAACCAGTAGCCACGCATCTGCAGCTGCCGTCCACTGCTATGTGGCACCTACTTCTGCAGCCCCTGACGCTTCTCTCTCTTCGTTCGTCTTCTTTGCTGTTGAGCTGCAAACTAAGCGCGCCACAGCACATCGTCTTCGTTCGTCTTCTTTGCTGTTGAGCTGCAAACTAAGCGCGCCACAGCACATCGTCTTCGTTCTCTCTTTCTTGCCTCAGGGCTTGCTGCAGCTGTCTCTGCCACCACTGCACTGGTTGTCATTGCACTTGCCTCCTGTTGCTGCTTTCTCTGTTCGTGGTGTACCCATCCAGGAGTTGTTGCTGCACAAGCTCCTGCTGCAGGCAGTTATGGGGGAGTGTTAGAATATATATTTATATATATTTATGTACCTGCCTGTAGCTGTAGCTTTAGTGTAGGAGTTGTTGCTGCACAAGCTCCTGCTGCAGGCAGTTATGGGGGAGTGTTAGAATATATATTTATATATATTTATGTACCTGCCTGTAGCTGTAGCTTTAGTGTAGTTATAAACTCTTTGTATTGGTGGTGCACCTCCTTTGTCTCCTATTTGTACCCTCGAGCCTATAGTGAACCCCCCTTCTTTCTCGACATTCCACTCTCTCGCCACTCTCCTAGGTTCCTAACCTAGCCTAGCTTCTTGACAGTCTAGGCTATCCGAAACCGAGGCGCACGTCGGCCGCGTGGCGCACTGTCAAGACGTCTGAACCGGGTAACCTACGTTGTAGAAATGCGGCTCGGTGCGATTTTACAAGTTCGAATACGCGCACTCGACCTTGTATGTGTGTGTGCTTTTCTGCAGTGTTGTGGTCCAGATGTGCGAACCCCGATACAAAGGAAGTCGAGATTGATTCGACTTATGTTCACTTCGCACAACTCGCCCAAAAAATGTAAACTTTCACGAATTTCACGGATCACACGCGCCCTAATGAGAAACAACAAATCAAATATCTGGATGTCCACCAAGTCATGCCTTGTGAATAACACCCAGCCAGCTAGTGCTTACTTACCAGATGAGTTCACAAGTGTACCTCAGACACCGAACCGAAATGTACCTTATTAGGACCCTGAAAAACGGAGCCACCATGAAATTAGCTACATTGTCGCAAGTACCTGTTGTTGCAGGACACTACTGGATCTGGTCTTGGTACGCCCAATGCATAGAAACTATCTTTCAAGAGAAAATTATCATCTCGTCCTCCCTGCATATCTTCACATTAGAGCCTTGTTGTAGCTCCGCCCGCCGACTCGGCGTGGGCGGCTTAAAAGCTTTCAAAAGAGCACGTAACCGGGTGCCTGCTGTTCGCACATTGATTGGCTTTCCAAGCACAGCTGAATACCCTGCCATGGCATACCGCCTCTGCAGTAGACATGAGGCAAAACAATGTGTACAGACATGAGACAAAGCAGCCCAGAGCAGCAACCCAGAACAGCGGCCCCTGTTACATTCAAGCACATGATTGGGGAAGGAATGTGGTGTATGCAAGGAGAAAAGTGGGAGAAGGGATCGGCTTACAATATCGTCAGGCTCCACATTGGCTGAAATGGCCACAATCGGCGTCTCCAGGAGCCCATTGGCTGCTTCATACTCTCTCACACGCATGCACGCCTCACTGCCATTCATAACTTTGAGCCTGCCATGCACAACCACGCACATGCACCATGCACACACACAGCAGAACGGACAGCACATGAAACAACATCTCGCCTCTTGAATGCTGCATGTGCATGGAGGGCAGAGAGCAGGGTGTAGAGGTGAGGGTGCAGCACAATGCAGCAAGTGATGGGACGAGGACCATGTGCGCCTGCACCAGCATGCATAGAGCTGACTGGAGAGGTAGAAGAGATGCAGCACATGTATGTTGCATGCACGGCACGTGACAGCCGTGTGCGTGTCATTGTGCTGTATATGCATGGTGCATGTACATGTGCATGGTGCACGGTGATTGCCGGAATGGTGCATGAAGTATGCACGTGGTGCACGGTGCATGGTACATGCATGGTGCGCACCTCTCATCAAGCAGCAGAGCATCAAAGCGCTCTCCGCGCTTGATGACTCGCTCCACGGCGTCCGTGCCATCGGACCCCGCCACCACCTCAAACTGCGCCCTGCTCCATGCCACCACATGCATGACATGGGGTGTGATGGGGCAGGGTGGGATGGGATGGAGTGGGACGGGATGGGATGAGATGGGACGGGATGGGTTGAGAGGAGATGAGATGGCACTATGGAGTGTCGCAAGAGGAACCTTCAGAATGTAGATTATGAGAAGAAAAGAGAAGAGAAGAGGGTCGAGCTTGGGAGGTGCGAGAAGAGAGTGAATGTGGTGCTTGCCTTTCAAGAGTTCGCCTGACCACCCGTATGTTGACAGGCTCATCATCAATCACCAGCACCTGGTAGCCATGCACATGTACACATGTCACCATGTACATGCACAAATGACACCATGCACATGCACACAAGACACCATGCACATGCACACGCACAGGCAGGAATGCGAAGGTGAGGATGCATCGAGGGACAGAAGTCACTACTGAATGCTAGAGATGGCAGCGCACATGGAGACGGACGGCAGAGCACACAAGACTATTGAGACGCTATGCTGGCGGTTAGGAAATGCATTTACAGCTCCACCACACACACCAGCACCACAAACATTATACCCCCCCCCCCCCGCTCCCCACCCACCTTAAACTCCTTCTCCCCCGCCTCGCCCGAGCCACCAGCCTGCCTTGCCCCTGCTCCATGCGCCCCTTCCACTCTTGGCACCGGCAGGCTCTTTGCACTTGCCAGCGGCTCATGCAACCTCCCCCCACTGCTGCCCACGCCCCTGCTGCTGCCACCGCTGCCGCCACTGCTGCTGCTGCCGCCGCTGCCGCCGAGGCTGCTCAGGCTGCCACTGCTGCTCCTCACGCACCGTATGCTACCCTGACTCGGCCCGAAATCTGCCTGCGCGATAACGTCACCTCCCCTGCCCGTACCCACTGCACCAAGCATCTCCCTTGACACTGCCCCACCCTCCACCTCCGCCCCTTGTGTTACCATTGCTCCTGCTGCTGCTCCTGCTGCTGCGTGCTGCATGTCTCTCTGCGGTTGCACTGACGGGGGTGGAGTGGGCATGGAGAAAAGGTCCGATGCGCGCTTGCGTGGATGGGAGGTGAGGGAGGAGGAGGACGGGAGGGACGCAGCGGGCTGCAGGCGAGGCATGTGCGAGAACCCAGGAGAACCCATGGGCCCTCGTGCTGCACCACCCGTGCCATTCCAAGAGCTCTCAGGTGCGTGGAGGACCGAGAGGGAGGGCGAGGGGGAGGGGGAGTGGGCGGGCGAGGAGACTGAAGTGAGGAGTTGGGTGGAAGGGGAGCGGGAGAAGAGCGAGGCAGCAGGGATGGCAGAGGGAGCGGAGGGTGGGGGGCCCGGTGCAGCGGAGGTGGGATGGGAAGGAGACGAGGGACTCATGTGCACTGCACTGCTCCCTGCTGTTACCACCCCTGCTGCGACGGCTGCTCGTGCTGGTCCTTCCCCTGCTATTCTCACTCCTATTCCACGAGCATCCAGTACCCGTGCACTGCTTGCTGTGCCTGGTATCGCTGCCCCTGCCCCTGCTCCTGTCGCTGCCGCTGCTGCCGTTACGCCTCCTGTTACAGGCAAGGGCTCTTGCTGGGTGGGTGCAGCGAGGGCGGCAGGGGCAGTTGTTGCCTTGTGCAGAGACATGTTCAAAGCGCCCATGAGCTTCGATGCTTCTCGAGAGAAGTATGGTGAGCTCCCTGCTGCTGTCCCCCCTGCTCCTGCTACCCCCCCTGCGCCTGCCACCCCCCCTGCTCCCGCCACCAAACCTGCCCCTGCCACCCCCCCTGCCCCTGCTGTCCCCCTTGCCCCTGCTGCCCCGCCAGCTGACCCCCCTGCAGCCGTGGCAGCCGCAAGGGGTGATGCGGATAAAGCGCCGAGGTTTGGCTTCAGAGCACGCAAGAGCGCGTGAGATAGATGCCGGGGGGACGACTGGGAGGAGGAGGCAGACGAGGAGGAGGAGGAAGAGGTGGAAGAGGAGGGGGGTGAGTGGGGCTGAGAGGACACTCTGAGAGCAGAAGCCTGTCCTTCAACCACCCTCCCCCCTTGCCTCAACCCCCCTCGCCTGCTCCCAAACCCCATTGCTCCATTCATCAGAAGCTTGGCAGCAGGGGAGGGACCTGAGGGCGAGGGGCCGGCAGGGGAGGCGCCGGCAGGGGAAGGTCCGGGAGTGGACGGCGAGGGAGGGCAGGCGAGTAACGAGAGGGAGGGGGCGGAACGCACTCGGACCATGCTAGACCCAGGCACACGCACGCCCCTTCCTCCGCTGCCCTGCCCCCCGGTGTGCCTACTGGGCGGCTGCCAGCTGTCAGGGTCTGGTGGGGCATGCCACTGTTGCTGCCTGGAGGGCCCGGCTGTTGGGCGGCATCCCTTGTCTTCTACCTGCTGCGCATGCCCCTCCTCTGGTCCGACCCAGCCCTCCTCTGTTACACTCTCCAGCCCTCCTATCCCCAACTCCCTCCTCCCACTCCCACTCCCACTCCTCCCCTTCCTACGCACACAGCCCCCCTCCTCCTGCCTCTCCTTCCCCTTCCTCTCCTTGCTCCTCACCCGTCCCGCACCCCCCTCATCCCTTCCCTCCTCCTCCTCCCCTCCCCGCCCCCCATCCCGTCCCCCCTGCATAACACCCAGAGTAACCCCGAACAGAGCAGCAGCAGCGGAGAGAGCCTGCGAGGTGGCAGCGGGGAGCATGAGGGCAGGCGTGATGGGGGGCGGGCAGGGCATGGCGCCCCACTGCTGCCGCACCGTAGACCCCACAGTCAGCTCCACAAGCACCGCCACAGCATCGCTCGCCACCACCTCTCGCACCACATGGAAGCTCCATTCCCCTCTCATGCTCCTCCTCAGCTCATCTATGATAGACGCGCCCTCCACTGCACCGTCTGCGCCTGCTGCTTGCCGAGTGGATGCTTCTGCTGCTACTGATGCTGCTGCTACGGCTGTGGCTGCTGCAGTGACCATGCCTGCTGCCGCTGCTGCTGCTTGCACGACTGCAGCACTGCCTCCTCCCTCGGACCCTGAGCCTGCTGCACTGGGTGCTGACGAACCTGACGGCGATGCTGCTGCTGCCCCTGGTGCTGTGGGGGAGGAAGGAATGTACGGGGAGAGAGGGAGCGTTGTTTGTGCGGGTTGTTGACCTGCTGACGGGACCACAAATGCTTGCACTTGCTGCTGCTGCTGCTGCTGCTGCTGCTGCTGCTGCTGCTGCTGCTGCTGCTGCTGCTGCTGCTGCTGTTGCTGCTGCTGCTGGGAAGCAGCTGGGGCCACGCCGGTGAGGGCAGCAGATGATTGTGCATAGCCAGCAAAAGCTCCCTGCAGCCCTGCACTCGTTCCTTCGCCCACTCCCTCCACACTCCCATCCGCACACGCTGCCATGGGTCTGCTGGCAGGGGGCGGCGCAATCAGCGACGCAGCGGCATGCTGTGAGTGCGCTGCTGCTGCTGCTGCTGACGGAATGCCACGGATCGGTGCTGGAGCACCGGTTAAAGGAGACGACAGCGACCTCTGCAGAATGCCGCTGCTGCCGCCACTGGCACCAGCAGCACCGTTGGCTGCAGCAGCAGAGGGAGCATCGGACGGGGGGTAGCGGGGGGGGAAGGAGCGGCGGGATGGATCGGTGAAGGAGCGAGTGGGGGTGGCTCCGCTGGACGAGGCTGCCATTCGCTCCCTCAGTGCCGGCCGCGCCAGGTGGAACACCGAGGACGGCAGCTGACTCAGCAGCGAGTCAGCGCGCATGGCTTCGGGCGAGGCGGCCATATGACGGGGAGATGGGGCGCCGGCACGGGGCAGTGGCGGGTAGTGGCTGTAGTGCTGCGGGCTGGTGTGGTGGTCGAAGGTCCAAGGGTTGCTGGGGTCAGGCTGGTTGCCTGATGTGAGTGCTTCAATGTTGAACCCCCCAGGCAGATTACTTGCTGGACTCGCTTCACTGAAACTGCCACCATCACCAGCAGCGACACCAGCGGCAGCAGCAGCAGCAGCAGCGGCAGCGGCGGCAGCAGCAGAGGAAGAAGCAGGAGAGGAGCCATGCGGTGCAGTGTGGTGGGAAGGTGTGGCGTGCGATTCATCGTACCCCTGCTCCACCACAACTGCCAGCCCAGGAAGGCCCTGCTGAAAACGCTGCTGCTGTGGTGCTTGCTGCTGCTGCTGCAGCTGTTCCTGTTGCTGCTGCTGCTGTTGCTGCTGCTGCTGCTGCTGCCGACCTGTTTCCAAACCGCCGCTCACACTGCTGCGCGCACCTGCTGTGCCTGATGCACCTGCCAAGCTGCTCCCTCCCCCACTCCCTCTCTGCGCTCCCCCCTTCCCTGGTGTGGGTGGGCGGCAGGGCGAGCGCGGGGCAGAGGGAGGGCGGGGAGAAGGGGGGATGGTGGGAGTGGACGAGGCAGGGGGGGCGGAGCAGGAGACGGGTAGAGAGGGGAGGGAGGGCGAGGAGGAGGAGGGATGGATGATGGGGTGTGCAGAGGAGTAGGAGGTGGATGGGCTTCGCTTGGGAGGAGAGGTTGCTGATGGGGGCGGGCGGAGCGAGGGGGATGATTTGTGGAGGCGGGAGTTGAGTAAGAGCGTGTGCAGCATGTGCGCTGCAGGCCCCTCTGATGATGCTGCCTCTCCTGACTGAAACGATGGCTCTCGGAACTCACCACCCCCTCCTTCCGCTCCTCCTCCTGCTCCTCCTCCTGCTCCTCCTCCTGCTCCTCCTCCTGCTCCTCCTCCTGCTCCTCCTCCTGCTCCTCCTCCTGCTCCTCCTCCTGCTCCTCCTGCTCCTCCTCCTCCTCCCAGTTGTCCGAACACCGGCTCTCCCTCCTTTCCTCCCCCTCCCCCTGTCACCACCGAAGCCACTGCCCGTGCTGCTGGATCTGAATGGCCGCGCCGGTGTGTGCCTGCTGCTGCATGCCCCGCACTTGCCAGCTGAGTGCTTTGCTCCCCACCCCTCGCCGCTCCTCCCCTGTGCTCCAATGCTCGTTCAGAAACCACCGCCTCTCTCCCTCCATGCTGCTGCTGCTGCTGCTGCGGCTGCTGCTGCTGCTGCTGCTGCTGCTGCACCCTCAACCCAGAATCGCCCGTCCCCTTACCCTGCAACCACCCTTCACCATGCTCCTTCTTATCCAACTCACTTCCATCGCTCCCCATCCCCGCACCCCCCCCACCCTGCTCCCCACTGCCTCCCTCCACCACTCCCCCCTTCCTCCCGTCCCTTTGCTGCCGCACTGCTCCCCCTTCTGCCTGCCCCCGCGCCTGCCCTACCGCACTGCCCGCCCCCTCACCCACCCCCGCGCCTGCAGCCAGCACAGCAGCGCCAGAGGCTTGAGCGGGTGGGGGAGAGCGCGGACGCAGAGCCAGGGGGCCAGGGGCGGAAGGGGAGCGCGGAGGGGATGAGGCGGGGGAGGAAGAAGGGGAAGGGGGCGCGGGTAGGGCCTTTGGGGTGGTGGCAGCAGCGGTGGTGTGGGTGTGGGGGGGGAGGAGGTGCAGTTGCACTTCTAGGGAAAAGACAGAGCCCTTGCCCACCTCCGATGTGCACTTGATCTCCCCTCCCATCAGCGACGCTAGCTGCTGGCAGATTGACAGGCCTAGGCCTGTGCCGCCGTACCTGGTGCATGGGGGGGAAGGTGAGTGGGGAGTGGAGGGAAGTGGGAAGGGAGTTGAGCGGGGGTGCGAGGGGAGTGGAGGAGGGAGGGCACGTGCGTGGCTATGTAAGCTGCATCGCTCGTTGCACAAGCGGCAATCCACATGCATCCCCACACACAGCAGCAACGTGTCACACGCCCGCAACCAACAAATAACCCATAGCAGCAAACCCCCTTCCCTCCCACCCTTCCGTCTCACCCTTCCCTCCTTCCCACCCTCCCGTCCCTCCCAGCACCCCCCCCCAGGGCTCCTTACTGGCTGGAGGCGGACTTGCGGCCAGTAGCGAACTGCTCAAAGAGGCGCTGCTTGAGGCTCTCCGGGATGCCCTCCCCCGAGTCCGCCACTCGAAACACAAACCGCGCGCTCTCCTGCTCGCCCTCCGCGCCCTCGCCTCCTCCCCCGCTGCTGCTGCCCGCCTTGCCCTTGCCGCTTGCGCCGGATGCTGACTTGGAGAGAGCGGACAAGGAGGAGGAGGAGGGCGAGGGGAGGTGCGTGTGGTCCATGGCAATGCCGATCTCCACCCACCCCGCGTGGGTGAACTTGACAGCGTTCCATGCGAAGTTGGATAGGATCTGCTGCAGCCTGGGAGCATCTCCGAGCGGGCGCACGTCGTTACAGCGCGGGTCGATGTTCGCATACAGCTGCAGGCCCTTCTTAGCCGCAGCCAGCCCCACCTGGCTCACCACCGCGTTCACTATCCGCGGCAGGTGCAGCTCATGCCTCTCCAGCTCTATCCGCCCCTCCTGTATCTGACTCATATCCAACACATCCTCCACGATCTTCCGCAGCTGGTAACCGCACGTCGCGGTGGTTTCCACCAGCTCCTGCTGCTCCTCCGACAGCCGCGTATCCTCCATGAAGGTGATATTCCCGAGGATACCATTCAGCGGGTTGCGAATCTCATGGCACAGGAAAGCCAGGTGCCTGGACTTCGCATCTTCCGCCGCTTCCGCCGCGTGCCGCACCACCATGGCCTTCTCCACCGCTTTCCGCATGGTCACGTCCTGCATGAAGCACAGCACGCGCGAGCCTTTCCCCGCGCCTCCTCCGTCCGCCCCGCCGGCATCATCATCACTGGGGTCGTGGCACGCGCGCATGCTGATGACCGACTCGACCTGGCGGCCCTCGTGGTTGACGAAGCGGAAGTTGAGGGTGGGCGTGCGGTGGCCGGCGAGGGCGCGCTGGATGGCGAAGTCGAGGGAGAGCAGCGTGTCGCTGTCGGGGACCATCAGCACGCGCTCGTCGCCCACCAGGTCGCCCATTATTCGCTTCCCCACCGCCTGCTCCTTGCTGATGCCGCTCGTCTGATGGGAAGGATGGCGGGGGAGAGGGGTGATAGGGGATAGGTCCGTGGGGGCAGTTGAGGGCGTTGGTAAGAGATGGGGTGTGTAGTGTGCGAAAAGGAGGTAGTGGGCAGAGAGGTGAGCGCATGCGAGTCACCTGAGTGGGCACGGCACGACATGCCATGCTACGCACCTTAGCCATGGACGCATTCCACTCGACAATCCTTCCATCCTTATCCACAGCCCAGATGGGCATGCTGGCCTTGTCCAGGATCTGCTCATAGTCGCTGGGCACGGCGCGCGTCTCATTCTCCGCCCACTGCTGCATGGTGCGGCGCTGCTCCGTCACATCCTGCCCAATCATCGTCGCCCCCACGATCTCATTCAGCCCGTCCCGCTGGGGGGACACCGTCGCCATCAGCACCATCACCTCCTCCTCCTCCTCACCCTCCCCGCCCTCCTCACCCGCCTCCTTCCCCTCCTCCTTCTCATCCTCCTCCTCCTCCCCGTCTCCGTCGCTGCCGTTCCCGTGCCCCTTCCCGCCGGGTGCGCCAGGCGCGGGCTTGCCCTTGGGCGGGCAGCGCAGGAGGATCTCCACGTGTTCCTGAGCCTGCCCCTTGCCCGCCATCACCTGCTGCAGCCGCGCCTCCAGCTGCTGCATGCTGCCTGGACACACCACCGATGACAGCAGCTGCCCCACCACTGACGCCTGGGGGGGTGATGGGGGAGGGGTGGGGGAGGGAAAGAGAGGCGGAAATTTGGGGGGAGGTCGGGGAAGTAGGGGTTTCTGCCTGTGAGAAAGGTGGAGGACGGGAATGGGGCGGAGGGGGAGGATGAGGGGAGGGGAGAGTGGGTTTGCGAGGAGTATGCTGATGGGAGGGTGAGAGGCAGGTGTTGTCACGACGCCATCCTTCCTGCAAGCATCCCACCCACCATCCAACCCTCCACCACCCAGCCCTCCACCATCCACACATTCCCCACCTTCCCCTCCACCATCCAAACATCCCCCACCCACCCCTCCAGCATCCAGAATCTCACAGCAAGCATGGGCAGGAAGGCAGAGAGGAGCGCACGCACCTTGGGGCGGCGGGTGAGGTGTGCGAGGCGCTGGTTCCACTCGGTGATGCGGCCGTCACGGGCGACAGCGAGGATGGGCGTGTGTGCGATGTCCATCATTCGCCCCAGGTCCCGAGCCACTATCGCCAGGTCCTGCATCGCCCTCAGCCTCTCCTCGTTCAGCCGCACCTGTGGTCATTGGGGTGATTTGGGAGGGGGGGGGAGAGGAGCGGGGAAGAGAAGGGGGAAAGAAGGGCGCAGGAGGGGGGGGGAAAGGGGAGAGGGGTGGGGTGGGGAGGGGAGTGTGGGATCGGGAGGGAAGGGGGGGAAGGGGGAGCAGAGGAGAGGTTAAGGGAGGGTGGAACGGTCAGGGATTTGGTGAAGGATGGCAATGGAGCAGGTGGTATGGGGAGGCAGGGCGTGATGCTTGGAGAGAGGGAGGCGGCACTGCTGGTGCCAGCATAGGTTGCATGGTTGGAGGAGTGAGGTGAGACAAGACCAGGCATGTGTGTGAGCGGCGAATAAATTCAGAGTAGAAAAATGCGCACCCAGCAACCCGAGGGGGCTTCCCCGGGGGGTGATGGGAGGAACGAAAGGTGCATGTGAAAGGGAGGGGGGTGCTGTGCGAGAGAGGAAGGAGGAGGGCAACAGGGCAGGGGGCAGCAGGCGAGGCGACGCACGAGGATCATGGTCTTCATGGGCTCGCTGTTGCCCCTGAGCGCGTCGTACGCCATGCGCTGCAGCCCCTCCACTGCACTCACCTGCCATGCCATGCCACCATGCCCGGGGAGGAGGGGGAGAACGGGGGGAAGGGGGAGAACGGGGGGAGGAAGGGGAGGAGTGGGGAGGAGTGGGGAGGAGGGGGAGGGGGGGGGGGGGGGGGGATGGGGATGAGGAGGTGGGAGGTGGGAGGAGGGGAAGAGGGGGAAGGAGGTGGAGCGAGGGAAACAGGGCAGAGGAGGAGAAGCAGGCAGACGGGAGAGAAGCAAGGGCGGGTGAGAATGGAATCGCACAAGTGCAACAGAGACATCAAACGGGCACGTGCCAAGCCAACTCTCTCTCCCTCCCCTTCAACCCCACCCCACCCACTCCCTTCCCTCTCTCCCCTCGCCTCCCCCATCTCTCCCAAAACACGCCTGTCAATCCTCTCCACCCCACACCACGCCTTTCATCCCCACCCCCCCCTCCCACCCCACAGCACTAGCTTATCACCTCGGACTGGGTCCACCCAGCGGGCTGCATGGCGAGTAGCATACCCTCATCCCGCCCCGCCTCGCCCCACGCCCCCGCCCCTGCGCTCTCGCTGCCCTCACTGCCCCCCTTGGTGCCGTCAGCACCGCCCCCCTTGCCCGTGCCCCCCTTGCCCGTGCCCCCCTTGCCCGTGCCCCCCTTGCCCGTGCCGCAGTGCGGCGCCCCTGCTGTGAGCGGCTCTGTCCACGCCCAGTCCAGATGACGCTGCTGGCCTGCCAGATAGGAGAGACGGGCGCATGGGGGGAGGGGCGCACGGGAGGAGGGACGCATGGGGGGAGGGGCGCACGGGGGAGGGGCACATGGGGGAGAGACACATGGGGGAAGGGCACATGGGGAGATACTCAGATAAAGCGAGGGGGAACGGGGTGGGGAGTGGGGGAGAGTGGGGGGACGATGAGAGGACTTGTTAAGTGAGGAGGGGAGATGTGGGAGGAAGGGGGGTGGAGTGGGATGGGCAGATGAGACGCACAAAGGACAGCAGAGCTGCTGGGTTTGGGGGCACGTGTATAAGGAGGCTGTATGCTAGTGCGCACACCAGTCGCAGCGTGTGCATCAAAGGTGAATGTGCGTGCATTCATGCAAGAGCCAGGCAGGGCAGGGCAGGGCAGGGCAGGGCAGGGCAGGGTGGGGCGGGGCGAGTGCACTGACGGTGGCGGAACCAGAGCAGCACGTCAGCGTCAGCGATGGCAGCAGCGGCCACGGTGCAGTGCAGCGCCCATGCAGGGCCCCAGTCGCCCGGACGCGCAGAGGAGGACACCAGTGGCGCGAACACAGGCTTGGTCGCGCACAGGCGGGATGAGCTCTGCATCCATGCCACCATGGCCAGCACCTGGTGGGGGGGTGGAGGGGAAGAGAGCGAACAGGAGAGGAGGGGAGGGGAGGGGTGAGCGAGCAGAGAGCAGGTGGGAACGGGTGGGTTGATTGGAAGAGTGGTGGAGCTGGTTGAGAGGGGAGGGGGAAAGGGGGATGGGGATGGGGGAAGAGAGGGAGGGGAGGGAAGGCGTGACGGAATGGCGTTTTGAGACGTGTGAAAGCTAGGTGGGGCGTGATGGCGTGGCTTTGCACCTGGTCGTCTGTGGGGCACGTGCCAAAGGTGACCACCTGCGCCCTCTCCGTGTGCACGTATGCCACTCCGTCACATGGCACCTGCGCTCACAACACACAACCAGCGCACACGCACGCATGCACACAAGCACATGCGCATGTACGCTCACGCGCGCGCACACAATCTCACGCACTCTCTCTCTCTCTCTCTCTCTCTCTCTCTCTCTCTCTCTCTCTCTCTCTCTCTCACACACACACACACACACACACACGCACGCGAAAACACGAACACTCACACACACTCATGTGCATGCACCACATGCACAGGGGCAGTGAGGCATGCACACAGGGAATGGGTTCAGGCTTGAGGAGAGAAGCACAAAACAAAGAGAAAACACGGGATAAGTGCAAGCAAAGCAGGAACTATGAACTACACCGCGCACCACTCGCCCTTGCTCTTTCCCCCCCGCCTTTTCCCGCTCCTCCCCCTCTCATTCCTTCCCTCCCGCCCCATTCCCCCCTTTCCCCTCCTCCCTTCCTCCCTTCCCCCTCCTCCCGTCCTCCCTTCCCCCTTTCTCCCCCTTGTCCTTCCTTCCTTCCCCCCTCCTTTCCCCTCTCCCACCGCTCGTCCCCAGCAGCACGCACGAGGTCCATGATGGAGGGGCTTTCCGTGACGAGGGACGGCGCCACCTGGTACGTCAGCCGGTCACAGATGCTCGTCTGCATCGCCTCCTGCCGACGCCGCTCCGCGCGCTCCTCGCTCTTCACCCGCGTCGCTAGGTGCGCGCGCAGGGCCTGCACAAGGGGGAATAGGAGGGGATACGGTGCGGGGAGGGTGGGGATGAGGGGAGGGGTGGGAGAGGTTGGGGTGAAAAGGCAGGGGGGATGCGATGAGTACGGAGAGAGCGTTGGCGTCTTTCACGGGTGAGGGGATTTTGCAAGGTCTGTGCAATGCTGTCCATGGGGTGGGAGAACAGGTGTGCGTCTAGGGGTTGTGTGTGCGTGTGTTTATGTGGCGTGCGTGACGCGCAAGGGAGCAGAGCAGGGCCAGTACAGCAGCCTCCTCATGCTCACCATCACCATCAGCATCACCATCTCCATCATAAGACACCACAACCAACCCACAACACAAATCGCAAAGCCACCTCTCCCTCTCAGCCCACCTGAACGATGAAGGTGCAGGCGGCGCGGTGCGCGCAGGTGACGGTCCAGGGGCGGTTGTAGTGGTGGAAGAGCACGAAGCCCCACAGTACGTGCCGCTCCCCCACGTGCAGCGCTAGTGGCATCAGCAGCACCGCGCACACGCCCATTGCGCGCAGCAGCTGCCTCTGCGCGCTCTCCACGCCTGGTGGCGGGCGGAAGGGGGGACGGTAGGGGCGGGGAAGAGGGGAAGGGGGGAAGGGGGGAAGCGGGGGAGGTGGGGAGGGAAGGAGGAGTAGGTGGGCTTGGTGGGGAGACGAAGCAATGGAGAGGGTAAGGAGCAGAGGAGGGGATACAGGAAAGGGGGAGGTAAAGGGGGGATGCATACAGGTAGTAAGAGACGGGGGGGGAGCGGGAGAGAATGGGGATGTGTGGATGTAGTTTATGGGGTAGAATGAGAGGAGGACGAGGGGTAAGTTTTACCTGAGAGTGGGGAGAGGCTGAGATCAGGCGGGGTGGATAGGGAGGCCACGTGGCGAATGGGCACTTGCCCTGCTGACGTGTCATAGATGAAGCGCATGGGGATGTGCTGCTTGATGGCCTCATCCGTCCATATCTGAATGGGCGACGCGAGGGGCGGGGAGGGGTGACGCGGGGTGAAGGGGGGTGATAGCGCGCACGGAGTGTAAGGGAGTGGGAAGAATGTGCACACGGAATGTTGGAGGTTGGGTGTTGAAAAAGTTTAAGGTGATAATGGCATGAGGAACGCGGGAGGTAGCATGGGTACGGGTAAATCTGACAGGCACGGGAATTGCATGAGGAAAGGCACCAACGACAGCAGGGGTGTCCAGAGGAGGAAGGAAGAGGAGAGGTGGGCATAGAGGGAGGGAGGACCGCGCGCGTACCTTGGGCACGGGCGGCAGAGGGAAGTGCTTTCCGCGGAACGATGTGAGCTCGCTCACACATGACTCCGCTATGATCTGATGGTGCACGCAGGGCACACGCAGCGCACACGCAGGGCACACGCAGGGAAGCATACAAATACATATTAAGAGCGTTTCGCCGCTCACGACTTCATACATGAGAAGCCTGCCGCACATTCCTGCCGAACATGCCTGCCGTATATACCCCAGCACACAATTCCTCATGTTGTGCAAGCTCACGGCACCTCGTGCAAAGCCACCGCACTCACAGCAGCACCTATAGCGCGCGCGCGCGCCTGGCACCTGCTCTGCGAGCCCGCCTGCCTGCCTGCGCCGCGTTCACGCGAACGGTGAGTGCGTGCGCGCGTTCACGTTCGCGTCGTCACGGTTTGGTGCGCGGTGGCAGGCGGGCGCGCGGGCGCGCGTGCGCGCGTACCTTGCAGCAGGCTTCTTCGGTGATGTGCGCGATCATGACGCGGTCGTACCCCGTCAGCGTGCGCAGCTCCTGCACACACGCCAGCACACACACGGGACGGCACGATGACCTGGGCGCGTGGTGCGGCATGACATGACATGGCATGGCATGGCATGGCATGGCATGGGATGGCATGGCATGGCATGGCATGGCATGGCATGGCATGGCATGGCATGGCATGGCATGGCATGGCATGGCACGACATATCAAGCGCAGGGCACATGGTGGTGCGGGGGATGGCTGGGCGCCGTGTAGAGGGGTTGCAATTCAGTGCGCTTAAACGGCGATTCAGAATTACAGCGGTCCTTAGGAGAAATAGGAATACTCCTCGCAAGCAGCGACTGCTACGTATCCGCGCCAGGCACCCGCCACCTGACTGGCTACACGCATAACGGCGCTATAGCCCTGGGGGACAGGCAGAGGGCGCAAAGCAAGGCGTTTTCTTTTTTTCTCTCCTCTTTCTCTCTGCTCTCTCCTCTCTCCGTTATCTCTCCTCGCGTCACCTGCGCGGCGGCGTCGCAGAAGGCGTGCACGTGCGGCGACACGCTGTTGATGCTCTGCATGCGGTCGATGGCGCGCCGCGCCAGCTGGTGGAACGGCAGCGACGGCGCCGCCGACGCCGGGCTCGGCCCTCCCGGCGCCGATAACGGAGGAGGGACATCGACCTCTTGTAAGTCTGCGCGCGAGGAAAGGAACGGGCGCGGGAGAGAGAGGGGGAGGGCGGGGCCGGCAGGTGGTACGTGTGGGGGAGAGAAATAAACGGGGCAAAGTGGGGATGTGGAGGCGGTGTGTGGTGCGGAGGGGAAGCTGGGCGGGAAACAAGACGGGAGGCTGTTGGGTGATTGAAATGGACGGGACAGCGGGGGAGGCAATTGCGCCGCGCAGCGACAAGCCCCGCGGTGCTGCTCCCGCAGGCAGGCTCGTGAGTCTGGACTCCGTCTTGCTCTACTCGACAGCCATGTCCCAACCCCGCACTAAGATAGCTTCGTTGCCGCCGCGTTACCCGCTAACTGCCTATACCCGCCGCCGTCCCCGCCGGCGGCAATTACTGGCACAACCTTCCGCAGTTACTGGCAACTCCGTTACCCGCTACTGGCAATTCCGCTACCCGCTACTGGCAATTCCGCTACCCGCTACTCGCAACTCCGCTATCCGCTACTCGCAACTCCGCTATCCGCTACAAACAACTCCGCTAACCGCTACTGGGGATTCTGCTACCCGCTACTGGCATTCTGTAGTCCGCTACTGGCGATTCCGTTACCCGATAGTGGCGATTCCGTTCCCTGTTACTGGTTATTTCGCTACCCGCTAGTGGCTATTTTCGCTACCCGGCACTGGCTATTCCGCTACCCGGCACTGGCTATTCCGCTACCCGCTACTAACTATTCCGCGGTCCCGCTACTGACAATCCCGCTTTCCCGCTACTGGCGTGCCCAGAGCACCTTGCTCGTTGTCGTCTTCCACGCTCAGCACCACTCCCGCGCCCGTGCGGCACGCCGACACGCAGTACGACTGCCCCGGGCGCGGCCCGCTGATCTGACACGCGCTTGCGCTGTGCGCCGTTGTGCGCTGAACCAGCGCTTCCAGGTCCGACAGCGTCTGGGGGAGATCCGCGACGCGGGGGGAGCAGGCGGACAGGAAGGGGAAGTAACGGTTAAGGGAAAGGGGTAAGGGAAGGGCACAGAAAGGATGAGAAGCGAACAACGGAGACTGAGACGGACGCGAGGGAGAATGCGATTCGGGGTGAACGGAATGTTGCGGTCAGAAGATGAATGTGATCGTGTGATGCGAACAATCGGAGGTGAAGAGGGAACACGGTTGATGACGCTTGGGGCTAAGCAGGAGGGGCGACAGAGCGGCGGGCGATGAAAGCGCAATGTCGGGGTGTGAGAGAGACAGGGGCAGGGGGAGGGGCAGCGGCAGGAGCAAAGGCGCGCGGGAACCTGAGAGGTGGTGAAGACATCGCTAAGGTGGCGCCCTATGACCGCGGACGCGCCCGCGTGTTCCGACGCAGCCACTCCGCCCGCCGCGCGCACGTCTGGGATAAAGAGCAGCACGTTCTCGCTCGCCGCCACCACCTGCCGCGCACGACAAGAGCGCGCGAGAGGAACTATGGGGAATGCTAGAGCGAAGAATTCGGAATTGCGTAAATTTGATACGAGGGAGGTCAATAGGAATGGTCCTTAATCCGTCCTAGTTACTGCAGGATAGATAAGCAACTAATAACCAGTTGGAGTAGCTAGAAAGAGGAATTTAGGCGATTTGACTGGCGACACTACTAAATGGTGAGCGAGGACTCGCGAGCCTTATGTCTAAGGAGCGTAAGAAGCTAAGAATGCGCACCTTGCGCGACTTCTCGTCTAGCACAAGCACGGCGCCGTGCGGCTGCGCGGTGACCTCTGCCACCACGGTCTCCTCCGACGCCGCGCCGTTCGCGTCTCCGGCCTTCCGCGTCGCAGCCATCGCATTCCCTCCTAAAGCACGCGGACTTCGCTAGATTAAAGCCCAGTCCACGAGCACGCGCAGCGACGCAGCTGTCTGACGGCCTGCTGGCATACTCGCTGGTCAATAATACACGCGTCGCATTTGCGCATCGCTGGAAGCGGACGACTGCCGTAGACTGGAAGGTACAGACAAGTGCTCTAAGGACCAAAGGCGACACAATGCGCAGAAAGAGAACCCTGACGTGGTATCTCGATGGATGATATGATTTTCCCTGACAGGAGTCTGGGTTGGAACTAAGGGAAAACCTTTACACCGAACCGAAAGAAGGTACGACTCCGAAGTTTACCAGGTTTACTCCTCCCCTCCTCTCCTCCCTCGGCACTAGATTGCTTGCCCCTTCGCAACGGACTCGTTGAGGCTTTCAGGCAGTCATCTGCATGTTTATGGAGCTCCCAGCCAGAAAACGGCTCACAGTACTAGCATGGTGGATGGACATGGGAACTTCCATAACTTAAAGATTAAGTGAGTACAAATATTTGCGGTGTGGCGACAGATGTTTCCCAAAGTACTGAGTTTAGAACCTGGGGCGTGGGCAGGCCTTCTGATCGCCTACACAATCCTCAAACAGCCAAGGCATTTTGTGACTAGCGTTCAAGCCTTTCCCCACCCGACGATAGCCGATATAAGCGAGGGCGGGGAACGAGCTGGAGAGGACGGAAAACCAAAAGGCTTCCAACTATTTGGGGTGATTGTCTCCGTTCTGTGAACCTTTTCCCACCCCAACTTAACACCTGCTTTGCACCTTCTGTTATAGAATGGGCCGCGTGTCGTCTGCTAGAAACACAATGATACTGGGGTGGCTCAGGCAAATGCATCTGCAAAAGGGTAACCCTCATGACATCGGGAGTCTACGAATATTACGGCAGGGGAGACCGCAATGATATCCGAAGAACGAATCATTTGACCTGATCCTTACGACGAGATGGACGAGTAAACAGAGCTCGACCAGCTGTGACAAGCACCAAGCAGCAAAACCATCTTGTGGTATCCAAGCAGCCCTAGAATGTAGGTCCCAGATTCTCCCTGAATGGCAATTGGAGGTCTGCAGGGCTAAGAGAGAAGCTGCAGTTCTCAACTTGGTGGCGGCATTGGTTTGTTGATTTCTCGTGCGATACACATTCTCAGCAAATAGGTCGTTTCCATCACATGTGCCACGTCATTTGATACGTCAGGATAATAGAATATAGATTACCCAAAATCGACTCTCATGGCAAGTGGAGGGAAATCGACACAAAGAACTGTGAAGGAACAAAACGACAAGCGAGAGAGTGAGACAGAGCAGTCGTGCTGCTGCCCTCCTGAGCGGGCAGCCCCTTCCAGTAAACACAACTTCGTTTAAGGCACAAACGAGAGAAGTAGGAAGGGAAAAAATTTAACCATAGGCGTTTCAGTCATCTACAGCTGTTCTTCAATCCGGTAGCTGCATATCTGTACGGGAATGCATGAAAAAAAGTAGGCGTCGATTATGACGTTTTTGCTTTCAAAACAGAGAAATGAGCCAAGATATCCCTTTTTAATCACGTATGTACACTTTCATATTGAACCATATTGAGTATAATATTATTACAAGTATACTTGTTCATTCTCGTATATATTTTTCCTAATGGCCTGCAAAAAGAAAGCAAATGATCGAATTTATTTTATATCGAACCAGACATTATAATTAGTTAATATCATAAAATGGTGATTACCTAATAAATCTATATTATCATTATCCTAATGATTGTTATTTTGCAAAACATCTTATATTAAACTACTGCAAAGGAATTTTGATACTATCTGTTAGGCCCCCCTGTAATACTATCAAAGTTTCACAAACAAAATTAGTCATACAGCATATCAATGATCATAATGGCAACATATGCACTGGTTTAAATTTACTCATTCAGCTCCGACATGACTTTCAAAAACGATTTCATCTGGAGGAGACGGAAAGGATAAACGTGGTGTACATGTCAGGGAAACACAAAACCTCGTGTTCCTACCTAACCTCATTGCGTAGACCTTATCCATCCAACTCGCCAAACCGGGCGAGAGGTTGTTCTGTACATGTGTGCTTGTGGCTCAAAATTCTTCGAAAGCCCAAGCGTAACCACGCGTAAATCATTGCAGGAGTAATATCTTCGGAACCCTTGGTTCTCAATGTCCCACAATCAATGTCACGTCGTGCTGGTCATGTAGCGCTTGCAGTTCCAAAAATTTGGTCCCCAGATTCCGGATACAGTGTCCGCGTAGGGACTGTACCTCCATTTAGTCACTAAAAATCAGACCCCAAATACTGTGGCTTCACCAGCAATCCCAGCTTTGTTTCTCAGCTTGTTCCGTTTCCCCCTGTCATGTTGACTGCTTTGACACTTGATTATAAGTATGATCTATTGCTTTCACTTTGATAGTTGCCTATCGAAGTCTGCTGTTTGCCACTGAGATAGTAACATTTACAACTGCTATTGTAGAGTCACCGCTTTACCTTTTATTAATGAAATACAGAAACTGCACTCGCAATTGCTGAAGATATGAATATGTATGTGCATGCATGTGTGTGGGTGGGAAAACAACTTGATTCTCTTAGATTCCATATTATCTCAAATAGGCTTGGGACAGCCACCAAACATAAAGCCACAGGGAGTTCTATGCACAATGTGAATGAAAAGAATTCTCTCCGTAGCCTCTGTGGAATGAAAAGGGGGGTGGGTTGGCATGAGGCGCACCACATCGCCATACACCGCCATCTCCACCAGATCTAGATCATTGTCTGCCCATGCAGCACGGTCGGGGGAGAGATGTGGGGGAGGGGGAAAGGGAGCGATGGGGTGGGGTGGCACGAGGAGTGGGGAAGGGGAGAAGGAGAGGCGGGTGGGAAGAATGGGGGACTTGAGGGGTGAGGGTGATGTATCTGGATGTGAGAAGGGGTGGATGTGTGGCGGCGTTATCAGCGAGAGTGAGGTGACAAGGGACATGGAAATACGAGCTGTAATTCGACTTAAAAACCAACTCGATGCAGGGAAAATTATGGGCAAGGGGAAAGAGACAAGGGACAAAGGGCAAGGAGCAAGCGGCAAGGAGCAAGGGGCAAGGGGAAAGGGGCAAAGAGCAAGGAGAAAGGAGCAAGGGTAACCAGTGAGGGTGATGTGGCAGGAGGGTGAGGGTGAGGGTGAGGGTGGGTGTGGTGTGAGGTGAGGTTCACCCGCTTCTGCAGCACCTGACTGTTCTCCACTGAGGTCACCCCGCCTGCTCCCTGTGCAGGGACGTGAGGGGGAAGGGCAGGGATGGAGACGTAGGCGTGGGATAACGCCCAGGAGGAGGTGGGGAACGCACCTCTCTGGCCCCGCACACCTGTCTCGCCTGCGGGGCGTGCGGCTCACCTTTGGAGAAGGGCACGGTGTGGTCACAGGCGCGTTGAACCGCCGCCCCACCGTGTTGCACAGGCGCGTCCACTCGCCACCTGCCATGCCCGCCCACACGTGGAGAGGCGAGAAGCGAGAGGCGAGAGGCAAAGGCGATGGGGGGGATGTGAGAGGCCAGGGGTGAGAGGCGAAGGGTGGGTGTGTGCAAGGGAGCAGCGGGTGAGATGAGGTGAGGAGGGGAAGAGGAGTGTTGTGCCAACAATAAGTGCATTGGTTTCTTATAGCAATTCTGCGACGGCTCCAATATGGCGGATGTTAAAAAGCAGATTCGTGCAGCAGATCACCCCAAACGAGCTTTCTTCCACTGTATCTGGCCCCTTCACATAGCACCCAAGTTGTTGTTTGCGCGTCAGCGGCGTGAACATCGCAGGCAGCTCCACAGCTGCTCCATTGACACGCACGAGGCAACGCCGGTATGATAGAGTCTTACGTCTGACGGTGAGTCGACTCAGACGCCACGCTTCAGCCGTTGGGTCCGCGCGTCTACCTCCGCATGAGGCAGCCGCTTGAGGGCCTCGGCGACGTCTAGGTCGTAATACGGATCGTAGAGATCGTCATACCGAAGACCTGCTTAGTATAGGCGGGCGAGAATATACAGATCTGGTAAGTATTGGTGTAAAGGGACTATGCTCGCGAAAACAAGTCGGAAACACGTTTCCTGTTGAGAGAAGATAGGTGATTAAGCACGTCTGAAATAATCCGTACCGGCAACAGATCGTACCGTATTTTTCCAGTCGAGCGCCAAGATACCAATAAGAGCTTGTTCGGTGAGCTTGTTCAGCGTCTAGGCCCGACCAGCCATGGCCAGTACCCAGTTGAACGCGGGTTCGGTGAACTTGTTCCGCGTCTTGGCTAGACCAGCCATGGGTTCATAAGATATAATCTCCATGTACTTACTACCTGGCGATCATATAACTCCTCAGCCGCATGGCCCTAAATGCTATCCATGGATCGCAACGTCCGTCGGAAGCATAAAAGCAAGAATTATTGCTTGAAGAGCCATAATCGCCGTTCCTAGGAAGAAATTGCTCGTCGACGATTTCAATACTAGAGCTTCTGTTTCTTCGATCGTGCTTGGATTTGAGTCTAGTACTTCAACCGCTGAGGGAATTGTATTCCGTATTGGGTCAAGGTGAAAAAAATAAATATGTAACATTTCACATACAAGGAAGCGATCTCCACTAGAGACTACAACCAGCTTCAGATTCTGGTAGCCCAAGACGAAGGCCGATCTTCAACTGCTGCTCCACTTCTTGAGTCTTCGAGTCTTGAGTCTTGACCCCTCTTGGCCGCTAGAGGCAAAGCCCCTAGCGTTTCACCCATGCACCGCGTTGAGGTGGGGGTTTATCGCACGGGACACCTACGGGGGGAGGGAGGGAGGGCAGGGCGCAGTAGGAAGGGAAGAAAAGAATGAGAACTTATTGTGGGGGGAAATTATGAATTGTACTGCCACGGGCAGAAAACCGCCTTGAAATGTCCCGCTGTCAGATGTCAGGTGGGAATTCCCGAGTCGCGCTGATGTCAGACAATCTGCAGCATACCTGGCACACCTTA